GAGGTGTCTCATGCGCCCCATAGAAATTATAAGGTAAGATGTTGCAGTAAGGTAAAGGTAAAGTTGCCCCTGTGCTTAATTAATTAAGGACTATGCCTTGAAGACAATGGGGGAATGGAGGTATAGCTTACAATTCTTGACCTCGGCACCAGATGGTTTTGAGTGATCAGCTTCGCGCTTCGGTCGCTTTATCCACCTGGAAATCGCGCACGGTACCCATTGGGGAGGAGGCTGGGTGGGCCCTAGAGCCGGTCTGGGCGACGTGAAGAAGAGAGAAATCTTGCCCTGCGAGGAAAGATGTAACATTGTGTTTCCCACTTCCTCTTCGCTCCCACTTTGGAACATAAGGCTGATTTATCAGTTTCATTGATCATGTTTACAGACGGTAGGACTCCTTGGAGTGGTAATCAGCTCGTCACAAGGTCTCTGCCTAAATACAGGACATCACAAACGCAGAATAAATGCACACAGACATCCATGCCTTGTGTGGGCTTCGAACCCACGATCTCGGCTTCCGAACAAGCTAAGACAGTACATGCCTCAGACCGCTCTGCTACCGTGACCGGCAACATGGCGTTATTTGACTGGAAAAAAACTTGTATTCGGCTTTTAATTCTGTAATGGTGACGTTGGTCCTGCGATTCGGAAAGCTATATTGGGGTGTAATGACATAATGACAATATACAACAGCCTACGCGGAGCGTGAGATCGTTTAATTTAACTGCCGCTGTGTTCCGGCACCGTTTTTGCACACAGCACATATTGCTGCGACCATACATTTCAAGTGGCCGCGACACAACAGGCGAGAGGGCTCTGGTTGCTAAGCAACATCATGTTCGTCAGCCCCAGCGATCCAACCTGCTTTGTAGAGCGTGGATCTGTTGCTACGAATCGACGCAGCAGTGCACGGTAAAGCGTTTTCTTCAGCTGGTCAATAATGGATGCTGAAGGTTGATCACCATGTTCACTTTGTTTGCCAATATCAGGGTCCATATTTAAGACCTTGTCACAAATCAGCAACGTTACTGTAAAACCAATCTCTCGCCATTTTGACGTTTGAGGCCGTTTACGGAGGGAGAGAATCGTGTAACCTTGACCAGTGATTCCATACACGAACAGCCAAGGTGACTGCTAAGCCAGTTTGTTCCGTATGAACACAGTACCATCTCGAATGTGCATTTATTGTGCCATTTTTTTTTTCGTTACTCGCTTTATTCACGGGCCACTCACAAATCTCTCCTATGGAACAGACCTTCGCCTTGTAATGAGTAGTGCGCGGTGCCTGCATTTTCTCTACTGACAGCAGCTTCTCGTGGTGGGGTGAACCTGGTGGCTATGCCGGCGGGAGCATAAGCTCCTGGCAGGGTGGGCAGGCCGTGGTAGAGGAGCCAGACAAAGTGTGTCCCATAACAATTATAGGGCAGGAGGGGTGCTTCAAGCTTGGTAAGGCCAACCCACCGGATTGAGTAAGCCCTGATATCAAATTTCCTGTCCCTTCAGGTTCGTAGTTTGTGCAGATGGTTGGTAGCCCTCCCAAAAGAAATTACCTTATTTGTAAGCTTCAAAGAAATCAGCCGGAAGGTTTTGGTAACGATACAAGAATTCCAGAAAATGTGTGACACTGTTATACGAACACTTGAAGGAAAGCTCGAAGTATACACAAATACGTAAAATGCACGTACGTAAAATGTTACCAGTTGATAGCCGTTGTTACGCTACCACACGGAAGCGAGTGCAGGACAATGAAGGGTGAGCACTGAAACGAGCTGTTTGGTATAGGCCCAAAAGAAGAGATGTTGGTAGACCATGCAGAAGGTGGAATTCATAGAAGCCAGAATCGGCCATCGGCCTAAGCCTTAAATTGAAGAAGATAACGCATTGCCGTGATTTGCACCGGGGCTGCCTTTTCGTTTGGGCGAAAGCCGCAAGAAAACACGTAGAAAGCATTTAAACGAAAAACTGAGGCCACGCAGAGGAGTTCATTCATCGACCGTTCCCATTCCCCTCGAGCTTGTTACGCTTCCCCTTCCAACAGGCTCCCTATATTCCACTTCACCCATATCGCCATTATGCCCACACGATGTGTGGAAGAAGTCCCGTAGAGGGTGTCGATGAAGACACAAGAGTCTTCCCAGTCTGTGCCTACTGTTATGTTCCCCTCCAGCCTAAAGGCTCATTCACGTTGTACGTAACGACACGGTGAGGGGACGGGCCATTAGCGGATCAACGGAACATTCTCAAGTGTATTTTAAAAGAGTTACCGACACAGACCGCCGGCCGGCCGGCGAAGTGGGAAACGTGTCGGTGCCTCTAAAGGCGAGGGCAGGCCAAGGAAACTGGCAACTGCAACGCAACCGCAATTTCAGAGAAAAATCGCCGATTTCAAGCAGGAAACTGGTTTCCAGATTAGCAGGCGCACACTGAGGAAACTTATGTTTGATTAGTTGTTGACATCATCTTAAGTGGGTATGTTCGTGTGTGATGTGAGACCAACATATCATTCGAAGAATGCAGTCTTCTGGTATGTGGCCCCGTGTAGATATTGTGTGAACCGACGTTTCGGAGGAATGTATTGTCTCCATCTTATGCAACCGCCTGCTCATGCTGGATCCTCGCTCGCGGATTTTTCTACTCAGAAGATGGAGGTGATATGTACCTCCGAAACGTCGGTTCACACAAAAATATTGGAAAGATTTTGAATGAAATGAAACATCAGCTGGTGGTTATAGAATACGATCGTGTAATAGAAAGGAACTTGAAGTTTAAGAAAGGGGATGGGGGGGGGGAGAAATGTATGTTTTATTCCGCCCCTACCTTGAATTTCGAAAGGAACTGCAGAAAACAGCAAAAAAAAGTCCATCGCCATGTTTTGTCGTCCCAAGAACTCGTACAGGGCCAACAGGCTCAACCCGTTTCAGTCGCCCTCTTTGGAGGATTCGAATTGGTTTCACCACCGTTTCTCACGGTGTTGTCGCTTGCAGAATTCTTATACTTTTTCTTCTACCCTGAAGATGGGGGCGATACGTTCCTCCGAAACGTCGGTTAACACCACATATACACGGTGCCAAATCCCAGAAGACTGCTTTCTTCATAGTCACCGCCGTGAAAGCCTCAAATCTTACATCCTCTCCTCTTGCTTCCACATTGGAGCGTAGGGCTGATTTCTCAGTTCCATGACCATTTTACAGACGGTAGGACTCATTGGACGGGTGATCAGCTCGACGCAAAGGCTCTACCTAAACACAGGACAACACAAACACAGAATAAACGCATACACACACCAAACATCCTTGCCTTGTGTGGGATTCGAACCCACGACCCCGGCTTCCGAACGAGTGAAGACAGTACATGCCTTAGACCGCTCGACTACCGTAACCGGCTAATAATAATAATGATACGTTATTATTAACTCATGCAATGTGTGATATGTTATTTACTGACCTATTGGGTTTCTCATATATTTACATTTTCGCTTACAATGTTTTGTCGTGCCATAAATCGAACCATATTTTTCCACCGGACTCTGGTCTCGATATGGCGTGAATTAACAGTAGCGTAATCTCGTGAATGTGGATGGTTTGCGGTACCGTGTTTTCGGGTACACTAAATCTGTGTATGCTTTGTCAAGAGAGAACCGAAGTTTGACACCCGTATAAAATATATACAGTGTATTTGTATCTGCAAGAACAAAGCGAACAGAAAAAATATTTGGGGTTTCAGAATCGAGAAGAATGGATTTTGAAACGGCCTGCACCATTCCGCTCATGAATTACATGCAGCTTAATAGTACAGTATACGCCAAAATATGCAGTACTCGCATCTCGAACGCGCATGTGCGTTTGTCGACGGGGAATAGCTCCAGGCGCGTGTGTTCCCAGTAGTGAAAAAGGAAGTTGTGTTGTTCGGTTGTTGTTGGAAATGGGTCTCTCGACGGAGGAAAAAGTATTCATACTAGTTGAGTATTATTTCCACTCATACGGAAGTGGTCGCTAGACAACTCGCTTCCTTGGTTTTGAATGGCCAGATATTATCGTCCATAAACCGCTACACAGTACACGTGTGACGATACGGTGTGCCGTCTCAGCTCACGGTATATTAGGCCCCTATTTCATTGAGGATGACGAAGAAAATGCTCTTACCGTCACCCAAGAACGCTACAAGAACATGGTGGTCGGACCATTTCTTCAGGATTTGAGAAGGTTCTGTCATGCAAGGGGCTTTCACATGAATAAGCATTGGTATCAACAGGACGTCTTTTCATTTCAGTACTGTATCTTTTGGCGCATACTGTACTTGAGAAGCCACAAATTGCTCCTCTCAAGAATGTCCCAGCATTCTATGGAATCAGAAGGTTCATAACCATGTTCACAAGAGCCCGCCACTGGTCGCGATCTCGAGCCAGATTAATCCAGTCCGTACCACCCCATCCTATTTCTATAAGATCCATTTTAATATTGTCCTACCGAATCTAGGTCTTCCTAGTTGCCATTTTTCCGTCTAGTTTCCTACCAAAACGCTATGCGCATTCCTCGTCTCCCCCATGCGTACTACATGTCCTAACTATTTCATCCTACTTGACTTGATCATTCTAATTATTTGGCAATGAGTAAAAGTTATGGGGCTTCTCATTATACAGTTTTCTCAAAATTCCTCTCGTGTCAAGATTTAATTAACTCTACTGTAAACACGGAATCGATGCCCGGCTGGGGGAATGTCCGCCCAGTACCCTCTCCAGGAGAAGCCGGGATAGTTCAGTAAGAATAATGACTGGACTACGGGCTGAACAACCGGCACTCGATTCCCTGCGGCGGCAAGGATTTCTCTTTGCCACCTCGTCCAGACCGGTTCTGTTTTCCACCCAGGCTAAGCCACACTGCCCCAAACGCCTCCATGGCTGTTAATTAAACATAGGGATAACTGTCTTTTTACGCCCTCCAGGATGCAAGATTTACCGATGGAATAATGGAGTAAGAGCTCATGTCTGGTTTCCCTCTTTGCAGCTCATGTGGATAACGAAATGTACCTCTCCCGGTCCCTTGAGAGGCTGGGCGGTAATGCTCTCAGTAAGGACCAGGAACCGGATATTGGAGCTGCTTTCCTTAAATTTGCCGTCGTCACCAAAGAGCTCTCAGCACTTATGAAGACCTTGGTAAGTACGCCCTCTCTACTGTCAGAGCTTAAAAACGTCTGGTAGAAAAAAATTTATCCACCTTGTGTTTGTGTGTGTGTGTGTGAGAGAGAGAGAGAGAGAGATGGTTTTAAGGTTTGACCTGAGTCCTTTGATGTCATCTTTAGTCATTGTACATTTGATGAATGTAGTGTCTGTACATTACAGTTGCAGTTTTCAAAAGTAAATGTCTAGACACTGTACACATCATGTGGCCGCCATTACATGGGAAAGTACTGTCCCCACGTCACTTAGATGATTCTTGGGTTATTTAATGGTGATGTATTATCCACTGCATAGGTCATTAATCGTCATCTGCTGTATGAGGAACTGGACTGGGTGGGTAGGCGGATAAGAAGCGAAAAATCTTCACAAAAATCACGCAGGCTGGACAGCTGATGTACCGCTCGAGACTGGAACCTTTGGGAATGCATGTTCTTCAACAACTCATTAGTTAAGAGCTGCTGTTTTTCTTTCCTTTGTTTGTTCCCCCGTTTTCGTTTTTTATGCCTTTCTTTTCTTTATGCCTTTATATTTTATTTAAAATTAATTAAGAAAGAAAGAAAGTTTGTGGCTTTTTAATAACAGGTAGTTTCTACTCCCTCCCATTCTAAAATGCAAGGCAACACAAGGAAATTCTACGAACCGCATATTCTTTACTCCTAATGACAAAGCACAACAGTGACGTACTTGCGACGAGTGATATTGTCCAAATAATATGATTCCATTGTAAGTTTCCTTAGGTGTTACTATTCCGCGCAGAAGTGAGCCGATCAGTTACATAACCCCCCCCCCCATAATACCATGTTCCCATATTCACTTTAATCTGACATTTCGCGAACTTTTTATTGTCGCATCTCTCGCTGTGAAAAATGACAACATAGGCAATAACAGTTCCAGGAAAACATTACAGAAAGACAAGGACGAGACGAAAAATAAACGATGTACGAATAAGGCAGAAAGTTTGCGTCAGCTGTGTACACAGTGTGATGTAAGACATGATGGTGGAGTCGTGCAGACTGGATACAACACTCCATACCAGATAGCTGCGGAAGCAAATTTTTTAAATTAAAATCTGCTGCGGAAACTCAGCACATTTTTACGTTTCACACAGGCATCGAAGAGACGTAAAGTTGTCTCTGTTTTGTAATTAAGTACTTTGCCTTGAAAGACATATGGAGGAGAGGACGTATAGCTTCACCATACTTGACCTTGACACTAGATAGAGATTAGTGGTAAGCTTCACGCCCCGGCCGCTTTACCCCGGGGAAATCATCCCCCGGTAACCATTGGATAGGAGGCTGGGTGGGTCCCAGAGTCTGTCTGGACGCTGTGAATAAGAGAAAAAGGTAAATATTGGGGCCCCTATACTGAGTCATGTCCGATGGCATAAAATTGCATTTCTTTGTTGGGAAAGTAGACTACTGAAAACCCGGAAACCCCGTCTATTGCGGAAAATTTGGAGAGACGTTTCAGCTGATCAGTAGGAAGAAAATGTGTATGAATGTCCGTGATGATTGTGTAATACAAACTAAAGCAGAATGGTCTATAGGTAGTGTATAAACGTGTGGTGCTGTTGGTTCTAATGGGTTCTGATGAAGAATTACTTGGTTTTTGGACTTTATCCAATGTCCGGTATTCTAGAAAATGGAAAAGATACTTTTCGGAAACTGGATCTGTTTCCGTCTTCAAGTGGGGGAAGACGCCTATTCAGTTGGTGTCACACTAGTCCGGTGATAGAGGTTAGCTCTTTATAACGGACGGACAGAAAGGCAGTTGTAAATACGGACATACGGACCGACAGGAAGTGGGGTCACTTTGATGACTTGGACTATGTAGAAGGACAAATAATTAAATGTACTTTGGAACATGGAATGAATGTGCACTGCCCCACCATCGTGCCCAGCAAGGCTTTGAGGTTAGAGGTGTTGGCTTTCGTGTTACATTACCGGAAAGTGGATGGAGTTTCGTTTCGTTTCTTATTTAGTTACAGCAGGTCACAGAGTTGATGATCTCTTTAAGTATTGATGTCCTCCCATAATTTATCCAAAGCCCGCGATGTGTGCTTCGTCTTTGTGTCCTTGACCTGTTCTGTGTGAGCGAGCGAGCAGGCGGGTGGGTAGGATAGGTCCTGAGTACGATTTCCTCCTCCTGGAGGCAGAAGTACTGTGTGTAATAAGCAGGAACTTCCATTTTTCGGATCCCCATTTTTTGTGTTTATCGCCGTTGAAGTGACCGTAACCCACAGATGACCAGACCCAAATCGGGGTGAGAAATTGAAGTTTTCTTTGAGAGCAAGGGTACAGCTTCTGTGTAATTGGCTGATTTTAAGTGCTGAGAAAGGGCCGAAAGCAGAAAGTTTAATTTTACAAATGCAATCTTTTGATTTTATGTACATCTGTGGTCTTGATGTATATTTATTACTAACAGAATTTTATTGTTGCAAAGTTATCACATAATACTCATATCTTCTCTCCTTCCTTCCTTTCTTGTCTTTTTATTTCTCTTAATTTTTTATTACATGTGTTTGTAACACATCACCAGAAAAAAGAAATCGGTCATATTATAGCGATTTGTCAGTTACCGTCCACATAGTGATGTATGACGCATGGGTATCATAATTATTTTCCTTTTCTCCAAAGAAAGACGCGATATTTTGCACTTCTCAAAGATTTACTTTTTTTTTTACTCCGTGGTTTTAGTCGCAAGCGAACTATACCGACCGGCCGAGCGACCCCCGCTTGTCGGCGAAGTTAGTGCCAAGTTTAGCGGATAGAGGGTGTCGCGTGGTCAGCGCAACGGATCCCCACGTTCGTTAATCTCGGTTTTCTAGACCGGAGCCGCCATTTCCTTGAAATACCTCCTCAATTTATCCTCACGAGGGTATTTGTTACATATTTATCGCTGTACAGTATATAAACTCCATACACTGACTGACATGTCATTCATGTAATCAGCACGGCTGCTATATTCACATTGTTGATGACATAGAATTTAGGTACCAAGATACGAAGGCCTCCGACGGTGTGATGTTTGTAAACAGTCTCAGTCAAGTCGGTTAGTTAGAGCGTAGGTCCTGTAATCAGGCCTTCACAAATCATGTGATCCCTGTCGCGGTGAAGCCTAGAATTGTCACGATATCCAGTAGAATTCTCTTCCTGTTGTTATTTCTGCCAGTGCATGACCCGTCACAGATGACAAGCAAAATAACACCCTTCTTCTTTTATCCCTTTCGTATCCTTGGCTCTTTCCCTAATTTCTCCGTTAGTCTTCCTTTCTCTTTTATTTGTTACGCCTATGATTTCCCCTTTCTTTCCTTCCATCCTTCACGTTCCAATTCCCCCAGCCCCTATTCTTCTGTTCCCCTATTTAGCTCCTTCCCTCCTGTCTCCTTCATTGCTTTCCCATCCCTGTGTATCGTTCTTACGCTCTCTACCTTCACCGCCATCCTTCAAGCAAACATATTTCCCTTACCCGTGTTCTTCCGTTCTTTGCCCCATATCTCTTTCCCTGCTTTCACCTGTCTACCTTTCTAATCCACGATAATTTTTACCACTTCGTTGCATTTTCAGGAGAATGAACTCTACCTTCTGCTGCTATAGTTTTACCTTTACCGAGTTCACTCCTAAAACCCTCCTCCCTCTCAGAGGAATCAGTCACAATTCAGAGGTTCTGTATCTGCTCTGCGGCGGAGCAACGAAACGCTGACACTTAGAGAACAGTTTTAATTGGGGCCAGGATTACGTTTGGTTTGAATTTAAGTTCCTGAGAATGGTAATTACATTTTAAACTTTTGGCATGTGGGGGAACCGGGATAGCTTAGTCCGTGTAGCGATGAAGCTACGGGCTGGACGACTGAGGGATCGGGGTTAGATTCTCGGCAGGAGCAAGCGATTTTTCTCTTCTCTACAACTTTCATACCGGCTCTGGAGCCTGACGAGCCCCATATACAATGGATACCGGGGGCTGTTTTCCCGGAGGTGAAGCAACAGGGGCTTGACAATTCACCTCCGTCTAGTACCAAATAAAAAACAAACTCCGTGGGTTTAGTCCGCAAGCGAACTATACCGACCGAGCGACCGCTGCCTGTCGGCGAAGTTAGTGCCAACTTTAGCGGATAGGGGGTGTCGCGTGGTCAGTGCAACGAATCCCCATGGCCGTTAATTTTGGTTTTCTAGACCGGAGCCGCTACTTTTCCATTCAAGTAGTTCCTCAGTTATCCTCATGAGGCTCAGTGGACCCTGCTAGTCCCGCATACGTCTTCATGGCGTGGTGCTTAAGTTAATTAGACTTTACCTTTTTGCCTTTACTTCTGGCGTGTAAACTGGTGCACAGTTCTTGATCACAATAGGTATAATGTTAATGTGCTTTTGTTAATGCGAGAGAGAGAAAGTGAAAGTAATTAATATGTGACACTTAACTTTGATATGAATGCATCCTTGAGAACTGGAATCACCTGCGCTTTCTGTTATATGAATAAGAATAAGCTTAGCCAGTTTTTAAATCCACGTTGTTCTTGAAGACGGGAAAAAATCATTTCAGCAATTTACATCTGACAAGCTGTCGTGTATCTCTAGGTAAGTTCTGTATATCCAGATAGTCAGCTATATGGTTGAAGAAAGCAGTCTTCTGGGATGTGGCACCGTGTAGATGTGGTGTTAACCGACGTTTCGGAGGGTCGTATCGCCTCCATCTTGACTGCTCGTACCGGTTCTCACGGTCTCTTCGCTTGCGGATTTCTTATTTTTCCTTCTATCCTGAAGATGGAAGCGATACGTACCTCCGAAACGTCGGTTAACACCACATCTACACGGTGCCACATACCAGAAGACTGCTTTCTTCATAGTCACCGCCGTCAAAACCTCAAAATTGTGTTTGGATGCTTGTGGGAAGCCTCAACACATTGTTCCCCGTACACACACACACACACACACAGGATTTTTTTCTTTTCATTTCTTTATTGCCCTGTAGCCCTTCGGACTTAGCCGCTTTTTCATTTTCTCATTCCTATACACATTCCGTCCTTGGACGGAAGATCAGCTCATCGCAAGGCCGCTACCAACACACAGAACAACACAAACAGAGAATAAATGCACACATACATCCATGCCCCCAATAGGGTTCGAACCCACAACCCCACTGTTCCACCTGGCGAAGGCGGCTCATGCCTTAGACCGTGCGACCACTGACCGGCGCACACACACACACACACACAGAAGATGGCACGTAATGATTGTGGGCTACAGTTAATGTAATATTTAATTTTTTGTGCTGTGTGTTCCTTGCAAGAGGAACATAAATGTAACACTTTATGTCTGTCCGTCCACGTGTTTCAACACCGAAACTATTCAGCGTTTTTCAATGCAATTTAGTGTTCAGGGTTCACAGTAAAGTATGTAATGCAAATTTTATTTTCGTCAATATTTTTCTAACTTCTTAAATTAAACTAAAATTTAAAAATATTTAGTTTCATAAAGACAGTCCGTTGACTAAAAAACTCTTATGGGACAAAATGTAGACTTTACCAAGCTCTGTATCTTTCGTGTGAACACATTTTTGATAGACATATATTTAACGAAATAGAAAAAGAAATAATAGTCTTCTATACTCTTTGTTAGCTATTTCAACAGATGGCGATTCTGGTGTAGTGTGCATATGTTCAGCCCAAGAGAATTTTTTCTCGACAGCATCCAGACTGGCTTTGGAGTCCACCCAGCCTCCGGTCCAGTGGGTACTGGGTACTTTATCTCCAGGGAAGAGTGGATTGGGTATGAAGCTGACCTCTCAGCTGCATCTAGTGCTCAGGCTGTATTTCCTGTCTCCCGTACAGCTTCATGATATTCTTCTTAATTACTGAAACACAGGGACAACTTTACCTTTTACCTTTTAGGGTGAAGAAATGTACTCCATCAGAGTAAAGATATTTCTGTTTGTTATTTTGCATGTCTTTTCTTACTCAGAATGTTCATTTTGTTCTAGATAAAAGTATGTTGTTTGAAAATTAGTTACACTGCATAGGCAGTGATATTTGTCATACTTGAAATATATACCATGTTGAATGTTATGAATAAAAATTTTAAATTATATCAGGAAATGTATTTTCTATAATGTTTCAGTTAATGCTTTCAGGTTTTAACAGGCCACAAAAATAAAAATAATATTTTTTTGTGGCTTGTGAAAAATCTGAAAGAATTAATCTGTGTATTGAGCTTTATGAGTGGATGTGATTTCAGTAGTCTGTTAAATAAATGGTTCTTTTATTGAAAGATGTATTCATTAGACTTCTGCAGTATTGTTAGTATCTGTCTCGGTATTGTTGAAAAGATATTTCACTCATAATCTTGATACAACTTTTTAAATTGGAGGTTACTTTCCAGCAGGAAAGTGTAAGTTGTTACATTTTTTCAAACTTGGCCCATTAGCGTTCAATCTTCATCTGTCTTTCTGTTGCCCCACATCCTTACAAAACTTCCCTCTTCTTATCCAACTTGTAGCTTTATCATACTGGGTTATGAACTCCACATAGGTTTTTGCCTGTTACACATGATGCACAAAAAGAGTTAAGGTAGGTTGAGGCATGATATTAGTCTCACTCAAAATAGTGTGTGGCATGGACAGTAATAACCACGCTGGTGGATTTTATCTACTCCGGATATTGGTCTGGCTGTCACTGGATCCTTGAATAAAAGAACCAGCATACACATTTTTGCCACTGATGTACTTATTCAAAGAGTTTATTACTGTATTAACTGGAGAGGTGAGTCACTGTAGGGGTGTGCAATTAATGTTACTTTTGGAAGGCAGGGTTATTTGGGTGAACATATGCCAGAGGGCTTCATCAGAAGAATTCTGCAAGTTCAAAAATTGTTTAATAGCTTTTTAGCATCATTAATTTCTAGTAGACATGTATGGAGCCCAACAAAATAAAATCCATTAAGGAATGAAGAACAGCCTTTTATGTTTCCATGGGTTATTGGGTCATAGCCTGTCATGAATGAAGTGCTGAATCCTTTATGCATTATTTGTACAAGGTGAATAAACTGCATGTTTAGTGAAGGGATGATATGTCTTATACATTAAATTGGCCTGAAAATTATGTTCTTTAATTCAGAGGAGGTCAAACTACAGACCGTATGTGGCTACTATGAGAAAATATTGCATGCTTGATAGATGAAAAAAAAAATTTTTTGATATGCAGAATAGTGTAAATACTTTTAATATGATCTGCGTACATAAAAATTTGCCCATACCTGCCCTAATAAAATTGAACCAAGACAGACGTCTTACCTAATAAATCATACATCGTTACTTTCGTTCTGTGTCTATTTTACAGGAGTTTGCTCTGTGTAGGGCAGTGGTAAATACTGTCAATACAGTTTATCACATAACAACTATATATTTTGCTATGCAGGAAGTCAGTTGGGTCTGTGGCACTTGGATGACAGATAAGCTGAAGACCCTTTGCCTGCCTGTTTTAACGTTCAATAGCACAGCATTTTCTGTACAAAGTTTATTTATAGGCATAGTTGGTTATCATGATAAACGCTGATTATGTCTTTATATAATGACCATTGGTTGAATGATCTTTAATGCCGAATGTGTTCCAGGATTTAAAAACTAAAATTTTAAATGTTACCAGTATTATTTTTTCTCTTTAAAGATTTAAACTATTGATCCTGCAGCACCAAAGCATACCCTAGTGTTCTAGGGTTCCTGATAACTAGCGCCTTTTTATTTCTAAAAGCATGTTTGTGTTGCTGACTCTCTTGTGCTCAGTTTTAGCCTCAAGGAGCAGGAGATGTGTGACTTTTAAAAGTTTGGCGGGACATATAAATTGTTCTGCATTATTCATACTGGCCCATACCAGGTGAATAATGCCCTGCTAATATACTTCAATATCTCTCTTGTGTTTCAGATGCAGAACATTAACAACATCGTGATGTTCCCCCTAGAGAATCTGCTCAAAGGTGACCTGAGAGGTGTTAAAGGTGACCTGAAAAGGCCATTTGACAAAGCATGGAAGGACTATGAAGCAAAATATGCGAAGATAGAAAAGGAAAAGAAGCAACAGGCAAAAGAAGCAGGATTAATTCGAACAGAAGTTACATCTGCTGAGATTGCTGATGAAATGGAGAAAGAGAGGAGGGTGTTTCAGTTACAGATGTGCGAGGTACAGTACTTATCAACAGTGGAAAGCCATTCTTATCATTCAGTCCTAAACACGCTTAATGCATCACACACAGCAAACTGTTGATAACTGAATGAGAGATTTCCACATATTTTCATGCTGTCAGTAGAGAATAAAATTCATTCTTTTGTTCTCCCAGTGGATATAAGACCCACTGTAATATAACAACTTAGAAACTTTTACAGGATCTTGTGTTCCTTATGAAGGAAAGATTAAAGTTTGAAAGCCCTTGAACTTGTACATGTGTACTTTTAATAAAATTTAAAAACAGCTGCCCAGTCCAGTAGTATGATTTGTTACACTTAATAAGGTGGTGGACGGTAGTGTAGTTGGTTGAGGCACTTTGCTACAAGCCATAAGGTCGCAGGTTCAATTCCCGATGCGGTCACGGGATTCTTTCAGTTGACCTAAGTCTTCCAGCCGCACTGTGGCCTTGGGTTTGAATCAGCCTCTAACAGAAATGACTACCAGGAATCCTCCTGGGGGGTAAAGGGCAGCCGGCGCGTAAGGCTGACAACTTGACCGCCATCTATGAGATAATTGTCTAGAAGACGCCTAGAGTCTAGACATCTCACAACCCTATGGGCCTTCACGGCCTCTTACAGGGACAGCTTTTTATTTATATATGTAATAGGAGTTACAGTTACTTGGCACTTAAACTTTGCGACAAGCGGTGGTCGTTTGGTCAGTATGGTTCGCTTGCTGACTGAAATCACAGAGTTTACAGTTACTCAAGCCATTAAAGAACAGAAATTTAAATATAGTGCTCGCTTCATATATATTGTGGCATATAGACATGCTAAGCAATGGCCCACAAACAGTAATAGAGGATTGTGTTTTCTGTGCGGTTTGTGTCAATGGCTTAGCGCGCAGCCATGGAATGTGTCATGCCACTGCTAAGCAACAGTTGCACTACAACAGAGGAAGGTGTTTTCTATGCTGTCCATGCCAAGATGTTATGAGCGGGATAGTTAGTGAGGAATAAGTCACTAAGTCAATGGAGCGAGAGTTAGCAAAGAGTTGGTTGGTGATTTAGTGAGTTATAGAGAACTGCTGGGATTCAGTTGCGGTGAGCTGTTGCTGTGAGAAGCTGGTAGCTGAGGCCAGGAACAGTTCAGGAACAATGAGGAAGGGGAATGTTTGCCATTGGAAACCGCTTCTAAACAATGGCTAGTGAAGACTGTAACAGGCTGAGAAGACCGACTGTATCGTGTAGGGATCTGTGAAGTGTGTAGAACAGTGAGAACATAATCCTTGATTGTAGTTACAACTTGCTGGAGTTCAGTAAATCCGATTACCAGTCAAAACCCTGCCTATCAGCACTCTGTCACATGACAATATACACCTGGTCTCTACTTAAAATCAGTGAAACATCCTGTCAAACGAGAGTGCTTAAAGATGTAGTGCATAGTGAGGTCATTTTACTTGTGTGTGCTTTCAGTACTATTTGTTACCTCTGAGCTGTATACTTTATTTTAGTTCTTCATCCAGATGTTCCATAAACATAATATACTGCAATTATATTTCAAACTAAAAGAGAAGAACAAACTCTGTGATTTCCTTCCGCAAGCGAACTATTATTTATTATATATAATAAGCAGTGGGACTGAATATAGTGTGAAATAGCAAACTAAGTGGAAAAAACATGCTATGAGTGCAAGTGTCCAGACTTTTATGGAGGTTTATACCCAGTCTTGTGTCCACCATGTTGTGTTGGGCTGGTTCTTGGCATTTAGAGACACACGTATTTCCATCTACAAACTGAAGTGACTAACACTGACCTCACACTGATATGTAGCTGCAGTATAATGGGAATTAACTGCATTTATCGCCTCTTGCCCGCCATCCTTCAAAATTCTTATGATTTGGTAGTAATTTTGAATCCCTGGATCCTGTATACATTTGGCAAAACTCCTTAAATAGAGGACTAACCTGTAGTTATACAAAACTTTATGATATATTAAATACAGTAGAACTTTGTAAGGAGAGGATTTTCTTGTGCTTTTACGAAAGAATTTAACTTAGTGAATACAGCACTGTGCCTGGATAGAGGTTGGGCTGTACTGAAGTAAACGGTACAGCGTAGTAAAGTGTGGACATCAGTGATCTGAACAGGATGTAAACTCATGATCTCAGTGTTACACCAGTTCAGGACTGAAGAATTAATTGTTCTCTGGTTAAATTTTTCAAGGGGGAAAGTAAATTTTCTTTCATGTTCATGTTCTCATTATCCACTACCTCGTGGCCTGGAATTTTAATTGCTAGCGGGTTACCATTTAATTACTTCCCATTGAAGGTGGACGCAGTCAAGTCTCAAAGACGCTGGTAAACCAGCCCATCAGAACTCTTTGTCATCACAAAAGAATGCAGTTATTGGAGACCTTGTGAGTAGGAGTTGTTTGGGTTTCTGGGAAGCAGGCGTTTGACAATCGCAGATATATGACAATGTTAATAGAAACTGAGGACAGAAGGGAGGGGGCCCAAACAGTTGCCCCCCGTGTGTGTGAGTGTGTGTGTGTGTGTGTGTGTGGCACAAGGCATATTGTTGACTAAGGAATTCATAAACTGTTAATTCAGTGCAAGGCTTTAGTTCATGCATTCATAAATCATTACAAAAATTTCATTGTCTGTATCATAGTTTGTATACAGGTTTATTAATGTTTTTATTTGATGTTGAAGTGTTTGTAACCTTTATCAGAAGAAGGGAAAACACATTTTAAATTGTTTCTTGTAAAAGTTATGTGGAGGGGGCAGTGGTAGCGTAGATGGTTGAGGCACTATGTTACAAGCCAGAAGGTCATGGGTTCAGGTCCCAATGAGGTCATTGGATTTTTTCGATTGACATCCTTCTGGCCTCACTATGGTCCTGGGGTCAACTCAGCCTCTAACAGAAATGAGTACCAGGAATTAATTAGGTAATTTTCCTGGGGAGTAAAGCGTGGCCAGGCCAGCTCATAAGGCTGACAACCTTACCGCCATCTTTGAACCAATTCTCTAGATAATGTGGGACCCTCAACATGTCACAACCATATGGGCCTTCACGACCTGTTACAGGGATTGCTTTAAAAGTTATGTGTGTTTATTGCTATAATTTCTCTTTAAAGGTTTTTGACATGTATTTCCCTTTACTGAGATCTCTTTGTATTCAGTTAGTTGCATCTATGCTAGCCTGATATTCGCTTTTGGATCATTTTCATAACTGCTGAGCTGACTTCACTTGGCTGAATTCTCAGTTAACTTTACCATTTTCTATCTGCCATATATGGGTGAGAATAGCATAGCAAAATCAATAAAGTATCACCCCTGTGACTAATTCTCCCTAAAATTCCCCTCCCTACACATTTCTGAGTGCTTGTGCACCATTACATTTGTGTTTGATGATGCAGGAGAACTGCAATTGTTCAAATAATATGCACAAACTTCACACACATGTACAACATGAATTTCATGAAATAACTTAAACCATTTGCTTTCCTTAAAATATTTTAACATATTCATTAATACTAGAAAAAAATATGAAACAATAGTTATGTTATGCTGTCATCCTCTAGTTTCCAACTGCATTAAATTTGCTTCACATAACTTCAGAGTTTTTGCACTGTCACCACATTTGTACTTATGAAGACTGATTAGTGCAGAATTTATAAGTGCATTTACAACATCTGTACAACAGTTCACATGCTTAACATAACATTTATTTCTCATGGCTTCCGTAAAAAGACTCCTCAAAAAGAAATGTAGAAATATTTAACAATCAGTTGAAAATGAAATATGGGAAGATGTTTACTTGCAAACAGATGTAAATAGAGCGTACAGTTCCTTTTTAACTAAGTATCTCAAGTATTATGTAAATATCTTTCCCTCCAAAAATTCTCAAAAAATGAAGGTGACAAATCAGGATGATTAATGAAAAGGATAAAAGTATCGGGACAGAGGCTGCAATTGTTAGGTTACTGGTAGAACTCGATTTATGGAAATACAGCATTTAGATGAAGATACCTCAATTATAAGGATGTATACTTCGTCGTGTGAATAAATAAAATGTGGTGTGTCTCAGAGTTCTGTTTTAGGACCACTTATGTTCATGTTGTTTATAAATGATTCGCCCAGAGCTGTTGAAGAGGGTAAGGTGGTGCTATTCGTGGGTAACACAAATATATTACTCATTGAGAAAAGTCTCACATCTTTAAAGGGGAAAATCGTGAAAATTATTAAACAATTAGAAACTGGTTCTTACAAGTAGTCTTATAATAAATACGGAAAAGACCAAAGCAGTACTATTTCAGGGAAGAGGATCTAGATTAATTCATAAAATAAATTAAAAAGTTATTTAATACAAAACTGTTTTTGTTCTCTACAAGAATGTTTTAGTAACGATGATAGAAGGTAGTTTGGGAATTTCAATAAACATGTGATATTTTGTTTTACTTGGCTGACTTGTGTTTTTGGTGGTTAAGCATATTTATTGCTTTATACTGAATTGCTGGGAGATGTTGCTAAACTATGGCAAGGGGATCTTGATCAAAAAATGTTTGTATTGTGTATTGTCTTGTATTTTGTTTTGTGCATTTTTTAAGAGTTGTTGATGTGAAGTGTTTGGCTGTTTTCAGCTGACTTGTCCAGTTTTGCCCGTGTAACAGTTATAGATGTTAAATAAATTGTTGTTGTTATATTGTTTTACATTTTACAGAATATTTCCATAAGAAAAGTTTCGTATATCTTAATGAATATGCTGCTATTCTTTCCTATTAAAGTAACACAGTGTTTTTTGTTCTTTTTCAGTACCTGATTAAAGTAAATGAAATTAAAACAAAGAAGGGCATTGAACTGCTTCAACATCTTGTGGAGTATTACCATGCACAAACTAAGTAAGTTAGCTAAGAGATATATAACAGATATTAAACCTTATTAAAGAATATCTTAACTACTTAATCTTTACTATACCAAATTGAAATCCTTCTCTAAGTAGCCCATAGCCCAAACTGAATGGCACCATTTAATTAAAACGATGTTCCCTTTTCTAAAAATGTTAAGTTTCTCCAAGAGTATTAGTGATAGAAATTTTATTCTGTAATTTGTTATATGTATACCAGGTGTCTTGTGTTATTCACATGTCTACCATGTAAAACCTATGGCTGTATGCTTCACAAATTCACTGTAGTCTGATAATCCCTAAAGCGCATGATAGTGTACCGGCCAGTATCACATTTTTCAAATTTATAAGTTGTACACTTGTCTTAACTTGAGTTAACTGACTTTTCGGAGGAACATATCACCTCCATCTTCTTTATTTTTGGATGTTCTTTTTTCTTTTCTTTTGCTCATGCTCACACAAGTATGAAGCTCCTCATTATGCAGTTTTCTCCAACCTCCTGTCACTTCATCTCTCTTTGGTCCAAATATTCTCCTCAACACCCTGTTCCCAAACACCCTCAGTCTATGTTCCTCCCTTAATGTCAGAGACCATGTTTCACACCCATACAGAACCACAGGCAAAATTATAGTTTCGTATATTCTAATCTTTATGTTTTTGGACAACAGACGAGAAGACGAAAGGTTCTGGACTGAATGGTAGCAAGCATTACCCAAGTTCAGTCGCCTCTTAATTTCCTCCTGAATCAGGTTTCAGTCTGCTATCGTTGTTCCAAACTATCTGAACTGTGCCATATTTTCAAAACATCTGTTTCCTATCTTTATGTCATGATTTTGCCCTGCATTTTGGTGACGAGACAGTAACTTCGTACTTCCAGTACCACTTCAGTACAGCCTTGTGTCGCTCAAAGAGAACCATTCAGCCATTGTTGCTGCTGTCTTCTGCTCGCAGTGTGCACATGGCCCAACACTCATGTGACTCATGTGACCCTCTCCTTCTGTTGAGAAAACGTTACATTACACGTGCAAGAATTGTAACTACATGTCATTTTGTTCCAAAAATATTGACTATCAAAGAGTGAGTACATTTTTTGGACCCCCCCCTCATATATGTTGGTGACATTATTGTGAATAATAGTGAATAATAGAGCCATCAAGCGGTGCCTCCCTCAGCATTCCAGCAAACTCATTCCAACTGTTGAAGAGTGGAACATACCTGAATCTTTTATATATATAGATTTAGTTGAAAGATACAGGGCATTATTATATATGATTGTGTGTGCATAATTAATTTATACATGTCTGTTGTCTGTCCTCTCCCTATAAGCTACTTCCAAGATGGACTGAAGACAATTGAGCATTTTGGTAGTTACGTCGCAGATCTCTCCATTAAACTTCAGAAGATCAGACAGAAGCAAGATGAAGAAAGGAGAAGGTTAACAGAACTCAGGACTCTCTTGCGTAGCGCGCCCGGGCTTGACAGGGAGGTCAGTAAGTAACCACGTGTGAGTGGTTGTTCTGCAGTTATAGTATACAGCCCTTTTGTTTCTTGATGTGGAATCCTGGAATGTATTACACCAGCAGTTTCACTCATAAAACAAAATATTAGAAAAATAGTGTTTTGTTATTGCGATAATTAGTACATAGGACAGAGGTTTGAATAAGGATGTTCTTTTGTATAGGTCAGAAGTTTAAAATATATCAGCATGCCCTTTTCTCTTATAAAGCATTGACTGTTGATTTTGGTGGCCCATGGCAGAACAAGAAGAAGAGTGGAAGTGCAGTACAGTGACTTTTAGCCCTTATCAAGTACTGTAGATTTGCATCTACCACTGCAACATTTCTGGCGGATGGATTTAAACTCAGTGGTAATGAGGTTTACATTGTAAAAAGAGTAATGCTAGACCTGCTGGGGCCTTCTTGAGCCAGTGGGTGTGCTGGCACAGTTGTGCGACACATGGGGATGAAGGTTAGCTTTATGCCCCTTTCTGATCGTCTGAAGTAACTCTGTTTGCCAGAAAATAGTTTATTTTTTGTGTTTCTGAGAGTTCTTATTTTTAGTTACTTTTTGTATATATTTATTTGTGCTTCGTATGAAATTTTGTATTGAATACATTGTATTTGAGTTGCAGAATACAAAAAAGGCACCATAAACGCAAAATAAGACAGCTAAATATTCACATTAACATTGAATAAACGATTGTAAAAATACAGGACTTCTGTAAAAAAGAGCAGGCAAGAGTTGGAAAATAATTATGATGGGAACGAACAAATAAAGATGGTGATAATAATTATTAAGAAATAACAAATTATTTATATTATCATTTTTAATTACAAATGTGAAGGTTGCCTGTGAAATATGTAGCACCCCTGAAGGCAGCTCACATTCATTGTGCACAGCAGGATTAATGGTTATAATAAAAGATGCAATAAGAGCAAGCATTTCAATGATGAGGTCAGTTTTTTTATTTGTTTTGCTCAGTAGCTATGTGTAACATCACAGGGCAGTTCCAAATAATTCAGAGGCTTTCAATTTTGAACTGATGCACTCTGTTGTACCCAGTTATGGCAGACATATCTATGGATGAGGTCTCTCCGCTAGCCCCCACAGAGTGTACTTTTTGTACTGGAGGGTATTGAAAAGAAGAATGGTTCCCAAATATTTTTATCCACAACACTAAATTTGAAATCATACTCGTATTCATCTTCTTAGTCATGGTACCAGCACGTACTAATAAGACTAGTGTTCTGCCAGCAGCACACAATTTATGTTGGGACTGCATAAGCTTTCTACACCTATTTACAGTGCTGAAGCAATCTGAATGGTTATGGTGACAGATTATATTGTGCAAACAGCATTAAACATTGTTTGAAAGAACAGGTCACTGACTGCTGTGGACAGATAGACAGATAGATGCTGGGATAGACGGAACTCACTGTTATGATATTAAAAATAAGTGTCTGTCTCTAGAGGCTATATTGTAAAGTCCATGAAATGGTGGTAGTATCCATATCAGAGATTTAATAAATCACTTAAAGACATATGTTTTGTAAACATGCTGTACTGTAGTCACTTGTACCATTTTGATTCTTGTTTGTGATTTTCGTTTGAGTGAAAAATTGAAATATGTGTAGTTGTTATTGTCCACAAGTTTGTGTCAGTAAATTGTGGCTAGAAAACATTATGTCAGGCTTCATGACATTAGGGACCTGGATGTTTGATGTGACATTTTGATACATGTAGGTTCAAAGCCTGTTTTAGCATTTGGAGTATTATGACAGCTTCCTTTGAAGTTGATGTAAAGTGAAGAATGTCAGGCAGTGTTTTGGCGTAAAACCATTGGAATCATATTTTTCGAAGAAATATGGTCCTGCATCATAAGAAGACTGTTTTAATATGATATTATGGATGTTTGGTAATATAATAAAACAGTAAAAATTTTCCTGTTCTATAAGTGAATATCAATTTTTAATGTTATTGTGTTGAAAGTTACAAGATCTTTGAAGTGAATAAAATACACTGGGCTGACTATGATCTTAATGCTTAAACTAGGAAGAAGAGGCATGCTCATATGAACATGGTAATGAAAATTCAGTTTCCTTAAATGGCAGGAAATATCTGGACCAGCTGAGCAACNTAAAGCATGGAATAGCGAAGATTTTCTATATAAGATTTGAAGCTCTCACAGCAGTCACTATGTACATTTAGCAGAGTCCAACTGTCAAAGTTAATAGTTGAAGAAAGCAGTCTTCTGGGATTTGGCACCGTGTATATGTGGGGTTAACACCACATATACACGGTGCCAAATCCCAGAAGACTGCTTTCTTCAACTATTAACTTTGACAGTTGGACTCTGCTAAATGTACATAGTGACTGCTGTGAGAGCTTCAAATCTTATATAGAAAATCTTCGCTATTCCATGCTTTATTAAATACTAGGCAAAGGAGTTAAAAGCAGAAGAAGGTGGGAAAGGCATGACAAATGAAAATAACTTCACATATCTAAATAGTTCTCCTCTTATTTTTAGGAGAGGGTCTTGAATCTTTTATTTCTGCCATTTCTAATTTTGTTTTACATGTATGCCTGTCACCAGTTCAACTAATATTTTATTTTGAAGCACTGCTACAGCTTATCACATAATATTAAAATGTAATATTCTTGCAGACCAGCTCACTGAACACAAGTGGGACTCTTGGGGGAACCGAAAAGGGCACAGGATACTCATTGCATCAGCTACAGGGTGACAAGCAACATGGTGTGACTCGCACTGGCCATCTACTAAAGAAGTCAGAAGGAAAGATGAGGAGGGTTTGGCAGAAACGGAGGTGTCGTGTCCAAGCTGAGGGTTTTCTAGATATCTGCCATGCAGATGAAACCAAACCTCCCACTCGTGTCAACCTCCTCACCTGTCAGATCAAACTCGTGCCCGATGACAAGAGGTGTTTTGATCTTATATCTTGTGAGTTTGATTTCATTGATCTTAGTATGCAGTTGCCTCAGCCTGCCTTGTTGAGAACCACATGAAACGAGATAATTATACATGTATGTGGCTTGTAAATTTTATCATGATTTCCTGTTTCAATACACTGTGATTATGATATTTATAATTCCTTATCTGACATATATGAGGTGGTGCTGGCCCAGTCACTAGTGACTAGGCTGTGGGATGGATGAAGAAGGATTTGGGATTTGGTTTCTGTCAGGAGACAAGTTCTTTCTCTTCTTGATAGCAACCAAATCAGTTCTGTAGTGCACTCAACCTTCTGTCCACTGAGTCCCATGGGCTCTTTCCCCAGGGAGTAAAGTGGCTGGGGCTTGAAGCTGACTACTTCTCTTCTATCTCGTACTGAGGTTAAGAATGTATGTATGCCCATACATGCTTATGGGATGGTGCATCACTTTTGTTAGTGTGCCTATGTGCATGGTATAGCTTTTGACTGTGGCTGGTTTTTTGGAATTCCCATATTTATTGCACAAATTTCATCTCTATGTTTGTCACACCATGTCTATTTCTCTTGTGTTCATTTATAACCTTGGAATCACATGTGAAGACCACACCAAAAACCTATATACAGGAAAAAAAGACATACAAAAACTATGATGGCCAAAAAAAGAATACAATGACAATACAAAACGATGACAAACATGGGAGCATGAAAGACAAGTGGACAGTGCAAGTTGCATGATGCTGGCCCATATGTGGCCGAAACATGTTGTAAATTTGGAAAAACATTATGTAAAACAAAAAGACATTTTTATGTATTTTGATAGTCCCTTTTAGTGCATAAGATATTGCTGCATTATTGACAGTGTACTTGAATAATGAGAATGATACCTCAGTGCAACAGGATGATGAAATATAACATGAAAGTTCTCAGTCAGGACAGTGGTGACAAAACCATTGTTATTTATGCCACCTTGCTTGGTTCATATGTCTTGAATGAAAAGTAAAAGAATCACACAGTTATGTCTTTATTTTTATTTCTTTCTTTATTTAGCAGTGCTCTAAATAGCTCAGACTGTATTGCATTATGTGATAGTTATGGTTGGTGCATAATAAATTGGAAAGAATGTTGACAGAAGTTGTCTTGGCCTCATTTGGTCTAGTTGCCTGGGATAACTGAGGAATTCCACAGAAATCTCAGTCAGAACAGTTGGTGTTCCAGCCAGGATTGATGCTCGTTTTATGTTTAGCTTCAGTCCTGAAGATGGAGGCGGCAGGTTCCTCCAAAACGTTGGTTGACTTTTGGTGGACTGCATGTCATCATATTGCAGAAGATAGAAATCTTCCTAGGTGCATGTCAAAAGTGTTACTTGGGCCAGTTCACTTTGTATGTACATACTGAACTAGGAATCACAAAGTATGATGGTTGTAGCTGCAGGAAAGAGTATGAATCATAAAGATTTTATTATTGCTGCTTGCAGTGTAGTGGGTTAGTCTCTGAGGTGTGTGATGCATACATTGATTCATGGCTTCATACTAATGATAACAGGCTTCAGAGACCTTGAATCTTTTTATAATTACATTTGATAGTCCCTTGTACTGTACTGTACTTGTACTGTTTGCCAAGTATAATTAAAATGATCAAGTCGAGGAGGATGAGATTGGCAAGATATATAACATGAATAGGTGAGATTAAGAATGTGTACAGGATATTGGTGGGAAAGCCAGAAGGAAAGAGACAACTAGGTAGACCAAAACATAGATGAATGGGTACTATAAAAATGGGTCTTGGAGAGATAGAATGGGATGGTATGGACTGGACTGATCTGGCCCAAGATAGGGACCAATGGAGGGCTCTAGTGAACACAGTTAATGAACTTTCAGGTTCCATAAGATGTTGGAAATTCTCGAGTAGCTTTACAAATGGCGGCTTCTCAATAAGGGCTCAGATCCATGGACGTAGTTAGTCCCTTTGGGAACTGAATCGATAGTTAAGGTTAAGAGAGATGTTGACCCTTACATCTGTACAGTGTTTTAGACTATAACATATGATTAATGCAAAGTGATGTATATGTTCACAGACAACAGAACATACCACTTCCAAGCAGAAGATGAAGCTGACCAACGAGCGTGGATGTCAGTATTGGTGAATTGCAAAGAGGGAGCACTGATGAGAGCATTTGATGATAGTGGCAAATCTGGTGGTGGTAAACTTAATCCTAGTCTCCTTGAACTACAGCAGGCTATTATACGATATGTACAGAAATTGCCTGGCAATGACAGATGTTGTGATTGCAATTCGCAGAATGGTGAGGAATGGTTGATATACTTTCTTACAGTTTTGTCTATAATGTAACTTAGTACACCAAAAACTCCTTAAGAAAAATCAAACTAATCCATGTACTTGAACAGTTTGAATGGTGGTGTGGACAGAAATGCCATGGTTTCATTTAATAATAACAATGATGGAAGGTAGTTTAGTGGCTCCGGTTGGTTCTGATGTGGTGCGATTGTATATAGATGGTATAAGTGTATGCATTGCTTTATATCGGATTGTTGGGGGATGTCATCCTTGGTTGCTAGCTTCGGCAGGGGGACAGTGATCCTAAGATGATTGTATTGTTCGTAGTCTTGTATATCATTCTGTACATTTTTAATAGTTGTTCACTTGTAGTGTTTTAGATGGCTTAAACTGACTTTTCCAATTATACTTGTGTAACAGTTTATGGATGTAAATAAATTATGAATTACAGTTTACATTTGCACAACAATTGTGTCATGACTTGTCACTAAAATGTAACCTCACTTTTAAGGAAACACATGGTTTGAGACAGTCATTTGCTGCTTACTGAATTATTCTGAGTGAAACTATTATCTCTAATAACTTCTGACACACCATTACTGTTATCACAGTTATTTTCATCCATATTAAAATCACCGTGTGCAAGTAATTCCTCATATACTTCAATGTAAGGCACCACGGAGTTCTTTCACATTCCAACATCATGATATTATTTCACTGTAATTTTTATATTTTTGCTCATAGATGCATTAAATGGGAAATATTAGCACTGCTCTAAGTCCATGGTATCTACACTGGAATAAAAGTGCATCACTGTCTGACAAAAATTAAAATAAATACACATACCTGATGCACATCAGCATGCATTTTTGTTCAAAAAATACATATTATTAACTGAACTAACATAGAAATTTTAGAATTTTGTAAGGACAAAAAGGAAACACTTAACCAGTGAATATTCTTTTTGACAGCGATTTCCAACTGTGTTTTGTGGAAACCTTTGTCTTTGAGAGGTTGCATAGATACATTTGTCTAATAATATATCTTCCATTAAAATTGTTAATATTCAGTAATTATATCTGTCATGAGAATCCTGCTATCTAACATTAATACAAATATTTGGACAGCGATAAAAATATATATTTATGTCATTAATCCCACCTATTATATGTGTGATTTCTTTGTCTTCTGTGAACTGTCCATCTTTTATGTCTTTATACATATAGCTTAGCATTGTTTTGATTTGTTTGCTTAATAAAGGTGGAAAACATTCAGAAGTTAATTTTGAAACGTCATAGGAAGATGCCACTTGGGAGAGGGGTATTTGGAATGATAATGTTAAAATAGCTCTTAAAGTCTGAGAGTGTGAACTAAATTATCTTGTCTTGTGATGGAGTCCATTGTGTGGCTCTTGTGAACATGGTAATGAAACTTCAGGTTCTATAAGATATTGGAAATTTCTTCACCACTTGAGTGAATGTTAGTTTATATAGAAGGTTTATGCTCTTTGGTGTTAGTTATAGATTTGGTCTCAAGCTAGGTAATTTTAGATTTAAAATGTTTTTTGATTGGCAGTGTGAGGAAATTGGTTCCTGGCAATGATACTGTACATATTCTGTTAGTGAATTATATATAGTACTTCATTGGCCAGAATTTATAATAAAATAATTTTAATCAAAAATAAATGTATGTAGACACTGAGCAATTTATTTTAATATAAGGAAAGATATAACTGTCTTGTTCCAGATGCAACATGGTTATCAACAAATTTTGGAATTATTGTTTGTATCGAGTGTTCTGGAATCCACCGCGACCTTGGTGTTCATATCTCACGTATTCAGTCACTCACTCTAGACAACATTGGTACATCACAGCTGCTGCTGGCTCGACATATGACCAACAATGCGTTCAACGAGGTCATGGAATATATGCTGCATGTATCAAAACTTACACCTACGTTACATATTACAAAGCTGTCACCAAACAGTACAATGTGAGTATATCATGTGCATTGCATTGTCCAACTTAGTATTGGTATGGTGAAAGTTATAATTTACAAATTATATATGAAACTCTTTTATTTATACGTTGAAACATAGTAACATCACAAACCTTCAGATTAAGTTGGCCAGCTTTTGTACATTGCAGATTTATATAATAGCATACATTCTGAATAGAATTCAAGTTACATAATTATTACCACTTTGTAGCATTACCCACTTCCATGCATATTGTTTAAAATAACATAACATGCATTATTCAGCTGCTGAGCGGTCACTTTGCAGTATGTTTAGTAATGTTTGGGGGGAGTTTAGAGACATTTTGGAGAGACATGCTTCAGAGTTGAAGAGTGACCCTGGATATGTAGGCAGCAAGTTTCTCTAAAACGTTTCACACATCTACCAGGCTACACAGGCGTCATATCCCAGAAGACAGCAATCTTCATGTTTAACATATTCAGGAACAGTCTAGGTCCATCACTGTTTCTTTGCTTGGCAGATATCTAACTTTGTGTTATCCAAGAATAGGCGATCTAAATTTTAAGTTATCCAGCACTGTAGGCAATAGGGGTTATGGTTTTGTAAATAGTAATGATAAAAGTATTATGCTTGGCCAGCTTGACCAGTTGCATGCATTATTACAGTCCAGTAATGAAAGATCAGTAACAGTTAATTATATAGTAATCAGTGTGCCGTGCTACAGCAGTAAATAGAAGAACATTGGCCAGATGCAATATGCTTTTATAAGACTGTCAGAATAAATAGTAGTTCCAGTACTATTTATGGGTTTCTTCTGGTCATTGGAAATATATATATATATATAAGATTTGTGTAATACATAATCAGTGCTCTTTTCAACCGGTACCCATACTGACACAGTTAATGTTTACTGATGATCTTATCAAAGTTGCACTTCTGCTAATGCATTTTAGATTTGTGCTGCTGTGAAGCCAAAGCTGAGCATGAGAGCGGTGACAAACATATTTTCAGAGAAAAGAAGGCATAAATAATAAACTGTAATAATTTCCATACAGTTTATTTTAAGAAAACCCAGGCAGTTAATGGGCCCTTTTGTTAGTACGAGTATTTCATGTTGAAGTCTGATTTGGAGTGTCGTTTTCTGGTAAAGACATGCATGAAAACAATTGGTAGATCAACTTGAATAAGTGAGATCATTTGTGAGACAAAAATGTAGATAAAAAGAGTAATTTTACAACACATTTTTTGGAAACGCTTTGTGAAGGTGTGGATTGAACTGGCTGAAGGTAGCCTTCACTGGTAGGTTTTGTGCTGTCCTTTGGGTTTTGCATAATTTCTTGATGAGTGGAATAACTGTTCAAGGAATACCCATTACTGTGGAGTTCGGTTGCCTTTGCTTATTTCAGTCATGCTGTAGCTCAAGCGGTTGGTCACCTGTTTGTAACCTCAGTGAACAAGTTCAACCCCCATGTGGTATTTGTATTAGCTGAAGTGGCAGTGAGACAAGTCTTTCTCCGAGTACATCTGCTTTACCCTGCCAGTTTTCACGTCATCAGTATTTCATATTCATCTCGTCTCATTTGGGGGCTTGCACACTAAGCTCATTAGAGGCGACAGTGCTTAGTGACTTAGTTTTCTGCCATTTCCATCATTATATACTGAGTTGTTCGAGTGTGGTTAACTTGAAATTGAAAGTAGGTGACACTTTCATAGTTATATGATTTTTAATGAATTATATATTGTAAAGATGTTTAATTTTTGCTTCTGTAAAATGCTTTGATACGTTATATAAATTAGAAAATACATTTTTAAAATTTTTTTCTCACATTGAACAGGGAAGAAAGGTATGAGTTCATTCGTGCAAAATATGTGGAGAAGAAATTTGCTTCCCAGACTTGTGCTGATGAGCGAGATCTTCTCAGTGATCTGGAACATGCTGTTAACAATAAAAACCTCTACCACTTACTGGAAGTGTTTGCAGAGGGTGTTGACCTATCAGCTCCTCTTCCAACAAGTGTAAGTACTGTTTCGTGCAAGGTGGGTATTAAGTATATAAATACATGGTAAATAATGACACTTCATCTAAGGTGGTCAAATTAAAGATGTTGCAGTCAACTCAACATCTACCTTTGATTGGAAAACAATAAATGCACACAGAATTTTTGGAGAAACCTCTTAAACTTAAATTAATTTTGTACATGTTAGTGGTAAGTATGTGCTCCACTCAATTTAACGTTTAGTAACTTGATATTTTACTGACAGTCTCACTTGAGTTTATTTGGTTATCAAAATAAACAGAAAAATATAAAAATTAATAAAATCCTTATAATATGATATATTATGTGGTCATGGAGGTAGAAACCAAATTTGTAATCATTATTAACACAAGCCCTGTTACTTCTGTATAAGACATGGGAATGTGTGCTGTAGGATATTGGAGAGACTGCTCTCCATCTGGCTGTAGTACGTGAGATGGGGAACTCGTTACATCTGGTGGACTTCCTGGTTCAGAACATGCCAACGCAGGCATTGGATAGGGCGACACTGGCTCCATCAGACACCACTGGCTCTGGCAGCAATACCGCCCTTCACTTGTGTGCATTGCATGATAAAGCCGAGTGCATGAAACTGCTCTTGCGGAGTGGAGCAGACCCAACATTACGTAATGCTCAGGATAAAACACCACTAGATATTGCACAGGAACGAGGTCATCACACCTGTGAAGAACTGGTGAGTCTGTATGTGTTTGATAGCAATTGTACTGGCATTTGGAAATTTTGTCTCTAATGAGAGAACTGATTATGTCACATTGGTGAATTATTTTCTTAAGGCTGTTATGCTGCAAACTAGATATATAGCTGACAGGATCCAAGATCTACCAAGATATACTGCTTTGAAACTCCCTTGTTCCCTGTATTTCTTTGATTTATGGCATTGTTAGCAAAAAGAAACCTGTCCTATTTCTTGGGCTAACAATTTGCACCATACCGGAAACTAAATTTAGAATGAAATTATTGAATGGTATAATACTTAATATTTTGCTTATAAAACAGGCAATATTAACTTTAATTGCAAATTATGTGACAGTCTTTTGTCACATTCTCAGGGTGTTAAATCGACTGTAGATTTCTCTTTGACTGTTAGATGTATTTTTACTATCACATTGACAATTTTTCTCAAGGTATGTTGGGTTTGGTTCAAATTACTGTCCTTTTCTCTCACTTGTATTTATTAGTCTTATGGTTTTGTATGGAACACGGATACTTTGAACTCAAATATGCATTCACCAGCAGGAATTCCATCATATTGATGAATGCATATAAACTTGAAAAAAATTCAAAGAAAATTTGCATTTCTTGTCAGTGTTTGTAAAATTGAAATTAGTTGTTTTTCTGTTTAGGACATCATTAGAGTATGGATACTGATTAGATTAATGGGAGACTGTTGTATTTTTGCTTTCACTTTAAGATCAGACCATTATGAGCTGCCTATACCAGCATGTGGTTGCATTGTTATGTTCTAGTTGATTATTAAGTGCATCTCATGAAGACTGCATGTGTTTCAGCTACGACATGCACTACAGAGGCAGAAGAGCCACTTCGATAATGTGAATATAGACTGGAATCTGTCTCATGATGAGGGTTCAACAGATTTCTCAGATGATGAAACCATCATTGAAGACAGGGTAAGGTAACCCACCAAAATTGCAAGTGATGCAGAAATTAAGTCAACATTCTTAAAGCGACATTCATAGCCTTGGGTGGAATGACAAGGATTTAGACTCTTGGAAGGGGGAGGATCTGAATCTATTAAGGACGAGTATTTCCTTCATAGGCTGATACTAGAGGATTCGTTAATATTGTAACGTGTTTCGTTACTGAAGACGCCGTAGAGATCGTTAATTGGTTTATTGAACAATCTACAAGTAACGGCTACAATTACTTATCACACAGTTGCGGGGTTTCACACTTTATAACCCTAATCGCAATAATCTGTTACCACTGTTGCGGGGTTTCACACTTTATAACCCTATGCGCAAATCAGCTCACTCTGTCTTCAGTAGTCTACACGTATACAGTAGGGGAGCTATGTATCACTGTATCACACACACTCCCAATTACACAATTACACACACGTCCGGTTCTTCTCTCTGGGACGGCTGCTATACTCCAACTTGTAGTCGGCTGACTGGAGAACTGTTGATAACACACTCGCTCGTAGGCTTGCTCGGAACTATCTTCGGCGCTGGCCACGTTATAACTCGACTCAGCGACTGTTACAGTACAACTCGGAAATGTCGTTGGCGATGGCCACATTACGACTAACTCGTAGCTGCTGTGCAGTTCCCTTATATAGCCGCAGTGTTGCCTGTTGCGGGTCACGTCACAGTAGGAAGCGGTTCCGCGTCACTGTGGCGTCACTGCGCGTTGCATAGCTACCAGGATGCGGGGACTCGGCTAACTTCGGCTCCGCTAGTGACGTCACCGCGGGGCGAGTGACAGGGTGATTACTCGCCTATTACGCGAGCGCTACGTTACCGCCACGTTCCACTGGGGAGGTAGGGGTCAACATGTCTCAATATGTTACGACCTGTATATTGCAGAAGAGAAACTGAACCTCCAAAATAGCTTTTCTTTCCTTATTGACTCTCTTGTTTTTGTTAGCCTACTTTCCTTGTATTGCAAAAATAAAATTAGGCTTATGAGATCACCTTGCTATGTGTGTGTGTGTGTGTGTGTGGGGGGGGGCCATGATGTATCCCCCCTTCCCCTCTATAAACTTTTGAATAGCTGAACCAGTTATTATGAAACCTAGTAACATGGTCTGTAGTATATCAAGGCACTTGAGCCCATTTCAATGGCATAATTCTTAAATCCCTTCCATCAGTAATACCAACATTACAGCCCCTCAAATTTCTGAAGCAAACCCATATTGTTGCTTGAACACTTGTACCAATCATCGTGAAAGTTGGTACATATATCATGCCACATGAAGCCATCTCAACAGCACACTTAATAAATCCCTTTGATTAGTAATACCAGGATTACATCTTCTAAAATTTTTGCAGTAATAACCATAATGTTACTTAAATGCCTGAACCAATCATCATGAAACCTGAACCCATTTCAGTGGTGTACTTCGTACATCAGTAATACTAATACTGCAGTCTCGTAAATTGTATTGTTTTATTGGCCTCATTATGCATACATACTGGCTGAAATGGAAGAAAAATGACATTTTTGCTGTTTTGGGAGTTATACTCCTTAACTGTACCAGACTAATGCATTCATAATTTTCTGATGCTTCAGAATGGGTCTGTAACACCTGAGAAGAAGTCAAGGTCTCGTCCACCAAGCTATGCAGGGGGAGAATCTCCTGTAAATCCCAGATCTCGATCGTCAACTTCAGATAGTCTCAAATCAGGTTCAAGTCCAAATAGTAACTACAGGCAAATGCCTCCTCCACCACCTCCAAAGGAAAAGAAACCTTCCACAGGAGGTGAGTCATCTGAAATAAGTAAAGTAAACTCTTGATTATCAAGTGCCGGTTAAATAAGATCTAAAAGTTTGTGACAACGGTACATTGGTACAAATATTATGTTTTTGGACATTATTCATTGTCTTGTCTTTATCTAAAAACTGTCCTGTTTATTTTTCAAAACACAACAAGGACTAGCTCTTATCAATTGGGTCCAACTGAGTAGGTTTTGCCTGAGGATGGAGACAGAATGCAATCTCTGAAACGTTGTGTTTTGAAAAATAAACAGGACGGTTTTTAGATAAATGCAAGATGATGGATAATGTCCAAAAACATAATATTTGTACTAGTGTGCAGGTTAACTGTGGAACTTTGAGAATCCCATAAATATTGGTTACATCTATCCCAAATGACTAAAATTATTCCTGCTTCAGTAATATGTGTTAGTGATGCTTCACAGTTATTTGCAGTAGACTGTATTTCTTCTCATTCTTTCATAATGTTATACTATTATTTTATTGATTTTCACAGGAGCTTGTCACTACTAAGTAAGGGTTGCTTTCTTATACTGAAAAGCCACATATCTCCGTATGTAGTGACTAGTAGTACAGTGTTGGTGTTTGATATTGTGACATGACAGCTAGAATAAGGGATCAGAGTAACAGCCATTGCTAGGCAACAGCTTTATAAACATGCAAGAATACAAGAGCCATCATCGAGCTGCGCGCACATGCAACGATGGGGAATTGTTGGAAGCAGTGTTTTTTATGCTGTCCATGCTGAGAGCATGTAAGAGAATCCTGGAAAAGCTTGAATCAGTCAATAATTGGTAGCTGAAGTTAGAGGTTGGCAATCAGAATTGAGTAATTGAGAATTCAGTGCACTGTAAAACATGTCTGAAATGGAAGCCTTTCTGCCAATTAAATGTAACTGCAAGGACAGGTAGGGTGTCATTACAAGAAGTATTCAAGGGGGTGAATGTTGCAGGAAGCAAAATGCCAACTGTTGCACAAGCAGTCATATGTGAGTGGAATGTCTGGTAGTCGTTTTTTTTTTCTATCTTGTATGCATGTATTGACACTCAAATTTATGATCTTCTGCAGCATATCTCAACTCTTGATGAGGTCTGCTGACATTAGATTTTTGTCCGCCATAAGTAGATGTAATGGCCGCTTATGATGGAGAACAACAAAGAATATAATATATGAAAATGTCGCTTCATTTTTCTACTATACTCAAGGTTTGAGTATCTGTCATGTGACAAGCAGGTAATTCTGTTTTCATAGGCTCAGGCAGCATAAAAAAGCGAACAGCACCTCTACCTCCAGGCTCATACAATATGTATGGCACACTACCTAACAGCCATAGTAGGACACCATCGGATCCAATCGTCCCCAACAGTCATATGGGGTACCACACTCTCAACCACCATAAGCGTTCACCGTCTAGTGATTCAAATGCCACGAGTTCAGGTACTGCACGGACTGGGCCTGCAACTTCCATACATTTGCGTAAGTTTGTCATAACATGAGACTGTAGAACATAACGATAAATATAGCTATATGTATGATTTTTTTTTATTTTGTGAAGTAGCAGCAGAGCATTCTGCATATCTAATTGTGTAGGTTTATGCACAAACATACATGCATAATTGTGTAATTATTATAAGTGATTTTGACCATTTTCTGAGATCCATGTATTTGCCATATACAGGGTGTCCCAGGAGGAATGGACCAAACTTCGGGAGGGTGTTCCTTATGTTAAAGTATGCCGATATAACCCTATTCCCTGTATATACTTGATGAACTCTGGATACTTGATGAACTCTGGTTGCCAGAATCACTGTTGAGGATAGTGGGGCCTGCTATATTTGTAACATTACCAAGGCATGTTTAGCCCAGGAAGATCAAACAGATCAATGTTTCTCAACCATTACTCCAAGCATTGCTATACACCTCCTTATTTTATAGTAGTCTGCATTATTTAACTGTATCAAAAAAGAATACTGTTTTGCAGTTAGGAACCTATTTTTCATTTCCTTTCCATATTTTATATCGAACATCTTTGCATTTTCCACAAGTCTCACTGGATACATAAATTATATTTTCTTTCTCTTACATACCGACAAGAAATCTTTTAACAAGTTAGATCATTTCATATGCATAATTTTGTAATTAAGAATATTTATTGTAAGTGATGGCATCTGTTTTATTTCAGTGCATTGTAGTTACATTCATTTTGGCATTGAAAGTGAACACGTTCAGACATGCCAGTAATAATTGGATTTATGGACTGCTGCTTGTATTGAACAGAGTCCCACTTCAACACTACAATACCAAAAATTTGAAAAGATGGATAACCACAAAAGCATTAAGCACATCTTATCNAGTCTCACTGGATACATAAATTATATTTTCTTTCTCTTACATACCGACAAGAAATCTTTTAACAAGTTAGATCATTTCATATGCATAATTTTGTAATTAAGAATATTTATTGTAAGTGATGGCATCTGTTTTATTTCAGTGCATTGTAGTTACATTCATTTTGGCATTGAAAGTGAACACGTTCAGACATGCCAGTAATAATTGGATTTATGGACTGCTGCTTGTATTGAAAAGAGACCCACTTCAACATAAATAAATAAATAAAATAAATGAATGAATGAATGAACACTACAATACCAAAAATTTGAAAAGATGGATAACCACAAAAGCATTAAGCACATCTTATCAGTACATAATGTCACAAATATGTTTATGTAAATGTTCATCCTCAGGTGTCGCTAAAGAACAGTTTAGACAATATGAAGAAAAATGTTATCGAAAATAGTGATGTAACAGCAAATGCTACTAGTGAATGTGGTCGCAAAATATGAACTATTGTAACAGTTNTTTGTGACTGATAGTGTAACGGACCAAAAATGAAACAATTCAAAATTGTAACAGTTATGTATTATTTGTTGCAGCTCCTGGTGCAAAGCTAGTCATACCTGCTGGAGAGCCACCATCCCTTAAAACAACTTCAGCAGTGTTCGATAAGACAAATATTGGTAGCAGCAGTAGTTTATCAGGGTCTGGAAGCATACAGCGACCCCGTGGCCCTCCTCCCCCCACCCCTAACCCAATGCAAGGTGTTCGTCTGTCAAATGGTCGCTCAACGGAGAGCATATCATCCATGTCGTCCGATGTTGAGTCTACAAGCAGTCTACATAATCCAGTTCCGCCCCCAAGAAAGGTAAGGATCTAGTTTAATGTAGAGCCATAAGTGTGCCAAGTAGCCTACAGCAAATTTTGAAGTTTTTATGGTAGTGTTTGTTATTTGTACTCTTATGATCTTGTAAGTGGATACCAACATTTTGGATTATCATGCTACCTGAAGATTGAGGGGAGCCAGAATAGTGCAGTTGGAATAGTGGCTGGCTGTCAGTTGGATATCCATGGGGTTGGAATTTGAGTCCTGCTGGGGGCAAGATTTTTCTCTTCTCTACATCATCCATACTGATCCTGGAGTCCAGTCTCCTCTCCACTGGGTACTGGGGGTGAAAAAGCTGGGGCATGAAGTTGACCACTCACATCCAACTAATGCCAAGGTCAAGAATACAGGGATCTATCTACACATCCGCTCCACTATATGTCTTCATACTGTAGTGCTTAACTAATTAAGCACAGGGACAACTATACCTTTCTACCTTAACCTGTATTTGAAGATTGTAGCAGTGTGTTCCTCCAGAATATTTGTATCTATTTACAGGACTGTTGTTACTGGTTATAGTTTTAATGAACTTACCAGATGGTGGGCTTTGGTGTTAGTGATGCTTTTGACCAGGCGTCTTATGTATACTGATGCGATGATGAGTGTGTAATGTTCTGACCCACATAGTTACACATCAGGTCCTGAAGGAATTAGGGATGGCAGTATGCAGACAGTATCTTTGGGAATTGCTGGAATAAGACGGTTGCTGGCTCTTCCATATTTTGAGAAATCAGTGAACTAATGCTCTTGTTTTCATGGGATCTTAGATGAGGTAGATTGATGAAATTATGCACAATTTTACATGTCATTAGTACATCTACTTATTAAATAACTGTGCAAAACCTCACACATACAGAACCAAGCTTAACACATTGCAGACTGAATTTAAATATTCCTTTGCTGCCCTCCGTTCACAGGCCTTTAGTTAAACTTCAGACATTCTACAGTCACACAGGAACCTACAGGAAGATTGTGTCTGTATTCATCTTTTGCAGTTGTACATGAAACTTACAAAGAATGTTTAGAAAGGCATCTAGGACCTGCACAGAGTGTGATTCTATGTAAATAGTTCCTCTTTTTCATCAAGAATTGTTACTGAGGACTGCTAATCATTTTCTTTTCATTTCATGTGACATCATTCTGTTGGTGGGCTCTTGATGAAATGTTGTTTTCAGTAATGTCTCTATTTTTTTTTTTGCATAATGTTTAAACAGCTCTTTGATAAAGATCATGCCCGTAGTCATCAGGCGAACCTCTACTTATGAACTTTCACGAAACAAACAATTAGTATTTCTGAACATTGTATGGACTAATAATTTGCAACTCCTAGTTCATTTAACAAATGCAGAACCCTGTGCTTACAGACATTTTAACAAATTAACATTAACAAATGTAATGATATATCTTATGAAAAAAAATTAATTCAGCTTACGAACATTCAACTTACACATGCATTCCAAGAACACATTATGTTCATAAGTTGGAGTTCACATGCACTTTTGTCTTCATTGGTGTCAGGATTGATTATTATGCTGAGAGGTAGATGCATCAGCCCAATGTTAGGGTAAAATGAAGCGGCCTCCGTAGTCTAGGGGTAAAGTTCCCACCTCATGACTCAAGGTACGTGGGTTCAAACCCGGCGGAGGTTGTGGAATTTTTAAGGGCAGAAAAATTCAGGGAACAAGTCCTCCGGGAGGGACTTTAAGCCGCGGGTCCCGTGTCATAGATTTACGGCACCTCATGTCTCTAGGAGACCTCTGAGCTAAATTTGGCCAAAAGTTTCCCGCCCAAAGTAGTTTCCAATGCCTCCGGTAGATGGGGAAGTATTAGATACCACTGCCAGTAGAGGATCAGAACCTCGCTGGCAGAAAGGGGCTGATAGCGAGCACCAGTACTGGTAGGGGATGGAGACTGTAGAAATTAAAAGGGGGACATACAATAGACTATCAGTCGCGGTGCATGGGGAAACCCACCCCCTCAATACTGAATAACTGAATAGGGTAAAATGACTGCCTAGAGGCTGATGAGGTTTGTTTCCTGAGTTCATTTCTTTCTCCCTTTTCATTCTTCATATTGCACAGACTGGTGAAAAAAGAAGCTGCAGTTTGGAAATTGACATAAAAATCAAACACAAAAACACACATACATGCCCCCCCCCCAATCACTCTCTCTCACTCTTTCCCTGTTCCCCCCACAACTTTTGTCATTTCTCCATCTCTGGTCTTCTTTGGCAGAACACCACAATATGTTTTCAGTACAAAAGTGGTGCATGTCCTTTGCTGTTTCTTTGCCTGGCAATCGTTTAATGCATAAAGTGATCACTATATTCTGAGACAATGGTAAATAATAGAACAGTGGTCAGTGGGAATGCGATTATACAGTATATTCATAATACTGTCATAATAGATACAGAATTTCATTATATGGGTACAGTTTATGTTAAGAAAACGTGGACAATGAATGAGTGCTCTGTCTGGTAATGAGTGAAATTTCTATTGTAACATAAGTGTTAGTAGTTGATGATGCTGCATGTATTGGACGAAAATAAGATAATTTGGATTATCCATGTTTTGAAATGATTCGTGTTTATTTTATGCACCTTTAATGTGGTTTGTCAGGAGTGTACCACACTTAAATGTTATGCCTGTTCATTTCAGTCACCCAAGTGATGTATCCTGACACAGGTTACACTGTATTGCACATTGCTCTTCAGTAATTATTAGGCTAATCTGCTGCTTACATAACTAACTAGTTGCACTTGATGATACACACTTCTCAAACTAACCTGCTTACTCGTATTTACAGAAGAAAGAAAGATCACAGCTAGAAAGTTATGCCGAAGAGAGTGACCTCCTCATCTCCTTGGTAATGGATGTTACTCTGGATGTGTGTCATGTGTGTGTGTTTGTCAGTCTGTTTGCCTGTTTGTTGTTACTGCATGTGTATTAATGGTATCGTACAAAAATAACCTTTCATCATGCCTGAGTAAGGAAGGTAACAGTATTAAGGGGAAATTACATATGTTAGGTTGTTGCTCTGCCTTTACATTTCTTATATCCTGATGTAATAACACCAGATAATTTCAATTTGTGAAGTACTAGTATGAAATTGATCAGACATTTTAAATTGATACCTGCAGTTCTTCTGCAGGCGATTTATACAAATCAATTGTTGCAGTCAGGCAGTTATCAGTCATGCTTCATGTTTGGGATTTCCCAGATTCAAATATCAGCACAGAGACTGTCTATCCTGGCTGATGCAGCTCATGGCTTTCCTCAGGCTCTCCATTCAGATGCCAGGATCGTACCTTAAATTATGTCACAACCATTTCCTTCTCAGCTACTGATAGCTTCATTAAAGAAACAATAAATAAGTAAAAAAATTTAAGTGACCATGGGTTGGAGACCCTTGGAAGATAAAATCTGTTACATACGAGGGTTGGAACTTTAATAGTGGCAGCGCTGCTTTACAGACGCCATGCAGTGGAACCAAATAATGTTGCTTATACCACGCGTTAGTTACATATCTACCTTACCTCAGAGTAAATGAACTCTCCTTTCCCACATCATGCCCGTGCACAATGACGAGAAGAAGAGAGACTTGTGTTAGCTGGTGGTCTAATGTAGTGTTGTCACGATGTTTTTGAAACAGGAACAACGGAGTTGGATAAAGATTGAATGTGCCAGAGGCTGTACAGCACGACAGTGTCATCAAGGTCTTCAAGAGGCTTGCAGGGAATCTGCATTGCCTTACAGAACAGTGGCAAGGTGGGTGAAAGCCTTCAACGAGGGACACCAAAATGTGGCAGACATGCGTCGGCCAGGTCGTCTTAGTGTCAGTGAAGAAGAAGTGTGTGCTCTTTCCATGTTACTTGAGAGTGATCTATGCCATACGATTCACGAGCTGGCCCGAGAGACAGGATTAGTGCATATGACTGTGCTTCACATTCTGAAGGAACGCCTGGGCATGAGAAAAATTGCATCATGATGGGTTCCGCATGATTTGACGGAAATGCAGAAATGGCAAGCTGTGGCTGATTCGTTCGATCAGTGGGGCTGGGAAGTGCTGTACCATCCACCATACTCCCCGGATTTAAGCCCTTGTGACTTCGACTTGATTCCTAAGATGAAGGAATCACTTCATGGTGTTCACTTCAGAACGGTTCCAGAGATTCTTCAGGCAGTAGACTGCTCCATTTGAACTATCAACACAATAGGCGCTGCTAAAGGTATCCTGCGACTTCCACATTGCTGGCAACGGGTTGTACACGATGCTGGTGACTACATTGAAGGACAGTAAAACTTCGAAACATGCATCTATTTTGTATCAGTTGTAAATAAATAGTTGTCACTGTTAAGGTTCCAACCCTTGTATTTGCAGTGATTGAATATACGTTGTGGGCACAGGAAAAGAATACAGAAGAATTTTGTTATTACTGATTCATATAGGCCCCTCCTAAACTTCATGTTCTCAAGGTGTTGCATTAAGTAATATCTGGAGTTCATAAACAGTCTAATACCCACTTGTTGATGTAGTAAATTAAAACAATAAGTACCTCTGCTAGGACTTCCTTATACCTGGTTATCTGTTAAAATTTAGATCCTTGTTTTTTTTTTTTTTTTTGTAATTAACAGTATTCTATGTATGTATAAAAAATTAAAACCCAGTTGAAGTCCATATAATTAATATCTAAATATGGCCACATTCCAAACTGGAAGTTTCATGGGCTAGCTTAAAAGCCCTAGTTTGCCCGCCCTTGATTTAGGATTTATTCCCATAATATATGTTGTGAAATTATTCTGTGTTTCTGGATTTCACATTATGTCAGTTGCATTTTGACTCACTCAGAAAACAGCTCTATAATTCAGGATCCCTTAAAATGTGTGAAGGCTATTTTGTTACCACCTGTTGGATATAATACATATTACTAGCTTGTATTATTAATAATGTGTGTTTCTTGTATAGACGTCATGTACTAAGTCTGAAGTGAATGGTCTGTCAACATTGTCTTACATCTAACCAAAAGGCATTTTCAGGAATTTTGTTTGAATTTATTTTTAGTGTGGATTATTTTATAGTTACAGCTCTTTCCTTAACCCTTAGTATAGTTGGTTTAATTAATTTATGTGTTGTATTAACTGCTGAGTTTACGTAATGAGAAACGACACTTATAGAAGTCGTTGGGTTTTCATGGTAGTTTCTTACTCTCATTCTTGGTTGATGACATTCTGTTTGGAGCTACTTTTCTAGTCTTGGTTTGACTTTGGTAAGGTTGTCTTCACCATCTCATCTCACTTGGAAAGGGACATGAGTTCTGATCTGCTTTCCTGTTGGCCGTACATCCACCAACTAGAACACAGCATTCTCCTGTCATAAAGCCAGAACTATAAATATTGGCACTAGGTCACTGTTTGGTCACTTTGCAAATTCTGCTAAACATCTGTGAATCAACTGACCACAACAAGGTGTCACAATCCAAAAATGGAAACAAGACTAGAATAAGATGTAGCGGTGTAGTATTGTGTGATGAATCAGGTGACATGGGGGGTAGTGGTTATGGCATATTTTAAGGTGCTGTCCCTGGAAGTGCTTTGAGGGGGTGAGAAAAACCAGGAAATCCCCAGCAGACCAGTTGATCCCCTACTCGTGTCTTCTTTCTGTAGTGAGGATAAACAGATTCATTTCCCATTGAAATTTGGATATACAGGAAGGATAGTTTTTGTATTTTCTAGTTTAGTGTGATATGAGGACAATGGACAGTGACTTGTTAAGTGTTTCAATATATAATGGAAAAATAGAATAACCAACACAGACTTCTAATTTGTTAGTAAGTCTTCTGAAGCTGTCAGCTGTTTCAGTACAGAGAATGCATGACATTTTTGACAGTGTGTCACTGTCATGTGTGACATTACTTGGGGACATAAACACTCTCCAAAGCATGGGAGCTTTGCTTTTTACTGATATGACTGGCTGCTCAAAATGATGTCTAGTCACCATGATTTGCTTAGAGGTCTGTTGCATCAAGTACTGATGATACCAGTAAAATTCTTGAAGTTGTGTGCAGTGTCCAGCTGTATAATTTTTTATGTCAGTGAGTCAAACTTTTAGATTGATTTTTACTTTCTTAATTAATTATTAATTAATTATTCTCTCATGATTGTGTTCACTATTATTTGCTGTATAGTCCTGTTTGCTAGAAATTGTATGATAAGACAACCTAAGCCACAAAGTTAATTCTATTTTATATTCCTGTACACATTAATTTAAATTGGCATCCCTTTATTTGGGGCATGCGGTAGCGTAGTTGGTTGAGGCACTATGCTAAAAGCTGGAAGGTCGCAGGATCGAATCCCGATGAGGTGGAATTTCTCAATTTACCTAATCCTTCCAGCCGCATTGTGGCCCTGGGAGCCATTCAGTCTCTAACAAAAATGAGTACCAGGATTATTCCTGGGGATCAAGGGCGGCCAGCGTGTAAGGTTGACAACCTCACCGCCATCTGTGAGCCGATTGTCTAGACAGTGTGGGAGCCTCGACATCTCACAACCGGCTTTCACTGCCTGTTATAGGGACACCTTTACTTTACTTTTTTACTTTATCTCTTTGTTTAACAGTGGTTCTTCCGCATATCAGATATTTAGACAATAAGAATGTACCTCTGTAACAGTGTTGTGGTAGTGAATATTGAAATAGATGTGACTGGTAACTGGTGTGTAGAGTCTGGTGTCTTTTGCAGTGTTTACAGTGTTGTCAGTTTCTGGACTTACAGCATTGGGGTTTCCTGTTGCATGTAATTCAAAATATTTAAATTGATTACACAACCATGTAAGAAAATAATTTTAAACACACTGCTCCTTATATTGGAAATGGGTCTCTCTTATATTATATAATTTCTATGAAACTGACGATTCTTGCATAGACTAGCATGTGACTTTATGCAGATTAACCCCTTGAGTCCTGCTCTGAATGTGCAAACTACACGGCTTTGAAAGGGTGTTTAAATGTTTAAAAGAGTGAACTTGCCTGGAAGAAAGTCGGTTAGTCTGTCTTGTTATTGGCACACAAAAAGCTGAATGGCACATTTTGTGGTTTAGTGACCATAATTAAATGGCCAGACACATAACATCTGAGAGAGGTCAATGAACAATGGTCCTTTTTTCCCTTATTGGTTGATTCTTAATGTACTATATAAGATTACATGTTAGGTTGCTTGTGAATTATGAATTGAAAAGATGTGGACAGAAGCAGTCAGGGTCTGTTTGGAGGGGTTATCCCAGCATTTGCCTAGGTGGACTGAAGACAACCATAACATCATAAGTTTTTTTAATTGCTAGTGGTGTGGGACTAAGTCCCTTGTACAGAGATACCTGCTCTATGCTTATATGTGCTGCAGTGGCATATAGAAGTATGGAATGTAACAGGATGCTTAAATATAATATAGCAAATCCTAATATTGGTAACAGATATTCTAACATAGTTTTTTCACATTTTGTGTGTTGCTTTGTGTGTTCTCTGTACTTTTCCACCTACTGACGCCCGAGCAGCCATATTTCTTCTGTCCTCTACAGCAACCCCAACCGGCTGTGATGGCGACCACAGTTCCAGTGACAGATGCTATCAGCTCCCCCGTGGGTGGCAGCACTAGCATGGTGAGTCTTCGTCGCTGCCAGGCGTTGTATGACTGTGAGGCAGATAATGAAGATGAACTGTCCTTCAGAGAGGGAGAGGTAATCATCGTCACCAATGAACAGACAGATGATGAGAACTGGATGGAGGGGGCAGTTGAAACTGACCCATCCAGAAGAGGGATGTTTCCAATTAGCTTTGTGCATATGCTGGCAGACTGACTTACTCACTGCTGTGCAGTGTTGCCAAGGGGTCAGTTACCCCAAAAGGAGGGTGGATCTCCTGTAGCGTCATTTCTACAGTTGTCAGCAAAGCTTGTGTGCAGAGGTACTATGCTGACCATAGCTGAAACAGATTAAGTTCCAGTACAGTATTGTAGCGTAAGAAAAGCAGACAGTAATTGGAGCTAGTTTTGGGAAATATGCCTCATGTGTGTTAAAGGTTTGTTAATTTATGCAGGGTGCCTAATTATTGCATTCACTGTTTTACAGGATGTTTTCTGGACATACAGAATAAGTAAAAGTGTTTGCATGCATATGTACCATGAAGGTCCTCCTTAAAAAGTTATGGCTATTATAATTTTAACTTCTTGGTCACACAAATGTTGAGTTCAGTGGGTCTTATATAAAAGTGAAACAAATCAGTTATTATTTATATTTTTTCTAGGGGTGCTCGAAATGTCCTTCATGTTCACAGACACACAATTCAGCTCTGTGTGATAAGAAACTTGCTAGCATTCGAAGATTCTGGTGCACTCTTTTGAAAATTGAGGTTGACACAACAATTCCTGTCTAGTGGCAGTTGCACTGGCATTGACTCATCCTGCAGCTCACATAGGTACATCCCATGATTCTGCACACTGTATATTGCTGCACATTCAAAATGTGTAGGACGTGTATTCTGTCAAAGGAGTATGCAACACTTGGCCAGAGACCACATGTTTACAGAAACAGTTTTGTTCCTGGATGATCTGGGGCTGGGATTACCAACTTTCATAAGAAATGTCTTGTCAGAGGAAAATCCCCATTTGATTCAATCTCACATCACCGAAGAGAGTTTTCTGTCAATCTGTGGTCTGCAATGTTAGATGACAACCTCATAGCCCCCACATTTTACCAGCATTAGTTTGTGACCACGATTACGTTAATTCTCTTCAAAGACATTGAAGTGGAATCTTGTAAAATGTGTCCTTCAGTACACATCTGCCCATGTGGTCTCAACATGACAGCCCCCACCACAGTACATTCATTAAATGTTTCGGTGGCTGCCTGAAAATTATCCCAGATGTGGATTGGTCACGGATGTGAAGCTCCAGTTTCCCTTCCTTCATGCTACCTGACTTGACTACTCTTGGTACAAACTATATCAGTAGTAGACAGGAACTGTGGCCTTGAATCAAACAATTTGTAAGTTAAATAAAGAATCTGCATTGAATTTTTTTAATTCTTGCAAGTTTCTTTTTCATGCAGAGTTTGGTTGTGTGTCCTTGAGGATGGAGGCCATTTTGAGAAGGTGCTATTATAAAATAAAATAAAGAGATTATTGATAGCTGTTTTTGTTTAAATTCTTCTTATATGCAATCCATTTAACTCAGGAAATATTTAAAATGTGACAATGGAAACTGAAATTAAAGTAGCTCTCAGGGCACATAGTCACATGAACTTCTCTGCTTATTTCAGTATGCAGAAGCCATCTTGTAAAATAGGCCATTCAATAATGATACATTTTGTATAGCAATTCAATTAAATGTGCAGATTGTAAAAGTGAATATAAATTCATACAGCTAAGCAAAGTAGAGGATCAGAGGCATAACCTCTTTGTCAGAAGAGCTTCAGCTTTTGTGTTACAGACAGTAGGATGTCAGGATTGTCTTCCTGGTTGCCCATTCTGCCTGCTGCTCGCACCCAAATTTGAATAAAAATAGCTTTTTGCAAAATAAATGTTACCTCCTAATCTAATCCACATATCTTTTCTCAGCACTTCAGCATGTGGATTTCTGACATCTTTTTGTACTAACTAAACTTCTTCCTGTTATCACCCTCTCAAGGGTTGATACAAGGCCTGTCTGCATGCATGTACTGTGTAAGCTGAAAACATTAGTTTAATTTACAAATGGCTCTTGCTGTTGTCATTGGTGCAGTGAAGATCATTGTCCCCCTAAATTAACAATACAAAGGCCAAGGTCAACCATTTTTACCCACCATCTTACTCACTTTCTCTTTGTATCGTCACCAATAACTACAGATTCAGCCTTATTATAGTTATGTCCATCAGTATCAGAATCACTATCTTAAGCTATTCCATCATTAATTTCCTTCATATGTGTTGTTTACAATCTTCCATCTTCATTTGGTTTTCGTTTAGCTTAAATATTTCTGCACTTACATTCTACACTTACATTCTACAAAATATAAAAAACAAAACTGGTACTGCAGTAAACTCCTTGTTCAGTATCAAAGGATATGGAATTCCCATGCAATCAGCAAAAGTATCAAAGAGAATTTACTCTTTTATGGTTACTTCAAATGGAGTTGCAGTGTGCATACATTCACCTACCATGTTGTGGTTCTCCTAGTCACCACTAGAGCAGTATCTATCGATCTCCCTCATGTGGGTGCAATTACAGTCATAATGATCTGTGAGTACAGTAGAGGCTAGTTGAATATGTGATTGCATTGTAGTTTATACAAAATCTTTGATCCATCAATCTGCTATGTCACATAAGAAGACTCCCACACAGAAACTAGAGAGAAAATGCATTGTTTTTTTACTCTTAAATGGAGAATGGAAACGTATGAAAGATTGAAAATCATATGAAAATTTGTTTATATAAATGTTTGTTATGCAACTTGCAGACTTATATAACTGGAACATCCCATCCATACATGCCATATAATAGGGAATTTACTGTATAGGGAATCAATAGTATCTGCAAGAGATTTAAAAAAATCATTGAATTCTGATGTCTGTCAAGGCATCATAATGTGACAGTGACAAAGACTTTGGTAAGGCACAGCATCGTGATGTTAAGACAGCTGTGTGTGGCTTCTTCAAGTAGGTATATACATCTCGTGTTCTTCAGGATTCTCATACTGACAATGCAGTTGTTTGAATTCCCGATGAGTTCTCCAGTAATTTATATGTATGTAATATTAGTGAACTATCATACTCAGAATAGAGGCAAAAATAACACACAAGTCTCTCCTTACAAATGAAGAAAATACTTTCATTCACATAAAAGTCTTTCTGTGCTTTTATTTATTTCATATATTTCGGTCTCCAGTGCAGCTTATTATTAGTCACCCTTATTCCTCACAACATGTTTCGACCATATATGGCTATAATCAGGTGCCTTCTATTTCGCTAAAATTGTTGCACTGTAGCAAAATAGAAGACACCTGATGATGGCTGTGTACAGCCGGAACATCTTGGGAGGAAGAAAGGCGACATAATAAGTTGCACTGGAGATAAAATATTTTATATGAAATAAATGATATATTAATGCAACAGGATTATTAAATACAATACTGTGAATAATCTTCATTTCTTCATCCAGTGATGATCAGAATAAATAAATAACTGTAATGTAAAGGGTACACTAATTAAAAATATTCCCTGTCTTTGGTTGTGTGACTTTTGCCCTTGTGGTAAGTTTCTTCAGTCTCTTGTCTTCTCATGTTGTGTACAAGCCTTTACCTTCTACAAGAACTGAGTACCAGTATTTTACTACCTCAAGTACATCAAGAATGCAGGGTGGGTTTCCCTTTTTCTATATTTATGTTGTAAATGAAACAAACATTCAATTCTTTAGCTGATATTTTTGCACAATTCAAACAATGTGTAAGTTTATTTTAATACTGACTAAATTAATTTCTAATATGTTATTCTCTTGCATACACTTGGCATGCGCCATCTTTGTACTAGTAGAGAGCAGGCTGTCATGACATTGTTTTATGATATTAAAACCCTCTTATTGTCTTTAAAAGAAATTCCAAGAAATCCCCATTGATGGCCGAAACTGCCATGGCAGTATCATTGCAAGCATATTTGTAATTTTATGGTCATGAAGTTATAAATCATACTTCACATATTTAGTCCACAAAAGACTAAACATGGATTCTAATTGTTCTATTTGTAGCTCACTGCTTTGTGCATTTTTGATAGTGCAATTTTATTTGGACATATCAAACTCTTTAAAAAAATCTTAAAATATTGAAAGAAGTAAGTGTTTTGTTTTATTGTGTGACATTATTTTTGTAAGAAACAAAAAATTAACCCATATATCTCAAAATTATTTTCTCTGTTCTTCCCAATTAGTCGTACTTAAGAATTAAAAATGTTACTGTATCTTTATTGCATAGTGATTGCTTAATCCCAGGGACAGTTTTACTTTTAAAACATAAAAGTGTGAATTTGGAGTTTGTGAGAGTCATTTTGCTGCCCTTGTGGGTTTGGACAATGAGATTCCTTCTTCAGGGCTTAATGGGACTTGCTCCAATGGGAGATATTATACTCAGTGAAGAAGTCTTTGGATCACAAAGTATTGATGAGATAATGTACTTACTTGACTTATTGCACAGTACTACACACTTTACAGTAACAGTCACTTCACTGTCACAGATAAATTGCATATAACTTAATAATATTCACAAAACTACTGTACAGTGGAGAAGGTGCCAGATCCCCAGCCTGTGTGTTTGCGCCTCACCGAATATACACGTTTGTTCACTGACTGCCCAATTGATTGGTCAGTGGACTCACTGAGTTACTGAGTGCCTGTCATCCAGGATCAGTCCCTTTAAATACAGTAAGATGACATAACATCTAGAACCTTCTCTTTCTGGATCTTTCTTGAAGTTTCTTCTGCTGTTTCATTCACATACCACATCAGCTATTAAAGAATGTTTTAGTAGCCTTTATCTGTAATTCCTCACCACAAATTCTTAGAATGATTAATGCAAAACTGGGCATAAGTTACATTTGGTATAGAATTGGTAATAAGTAACAAGTATCAATATTTAAGAAGTAGGCCGGTAGGTAATGGTCGATTACAAGTTGAAGCTCATCTGGCAAGGATAAAAGAAAGGTTTCCCCACCAAAGAGGTTGCATTCCAAAAATGTTCTGTGAATTACTTCCTGCCTTTCTGAATTGTAAGTTACTCCAAGAGATAGATCTTGAGGACTGATGGTACATTCATATGGAAATGGCAGAAATTGATCTAGGATAATGGTTCCCAAATGTGGTTAGCAAATCCCCTATATGTATGAAGTTATGAAGGCCCCCCCCTCAAAACAAAAAGAAAATGTGAGTGCTACTTTTTTCTATTCCAGTATTACTTTAAGGCAAATTCACGAAGAAAATAATGCTGTATTTGGTTTTTGCATATGTCTCTTGCATAGTTTATGCAGATATTTGTATTAACTTCTTTCCTTTCACAAGGGAAATTATGTGTTGAACACCATGGAAAGCTTCAGCAACGCACTGATGGGCCAGGTCAGGGTATATGAATGGAATGGAAAAAAGGAAAGGGACATGTAAGGAAGAAATGTTCAGAAAATTTTTCATTTTAGATGAGTATTTATTCTCACAGTGGTAACTTATGAAGAGTACTGCCTTCTGTGATGTTATGCCATATAGTGTAGTAGAGATTTACTGATGTTTTGGAGGAATGTACTGTCTCCATCTGTAGGGTTGAAGAATAAACAAGCAAGAGCATCACATCCCAAAAAGCAGTACATGCTCTTAAAGTACATTCATACATTGATTTTTAAGTGAATTTATTGAGTCTTATAGTTTGGGAATCACTGTTCTAGTCATAAATTTATAAGAATGTTGTTCTGTATGGCTCCTTGTTGTGATGTTCATTGAAGAATGAAACTGAAATGACAGTTCTGTATTAGTTACCTTAGTAACTAGTAGTTACTAGCTTACAGCTGGTCTGAACAGAGATCAGTGTGCCAGGTATCCTACTTTTTCTCTTTTATAATGAAAGATGACCTATGGTATCATGTCCATGTGTCTGCATGTCTCCTCCCTGTTTAATGAATTGCCACGGGCAAGATTGATTGTAACTGTCACAACATTTGTATAAAGAGTATCACAAGCTTATGGGTGAGTGGGTTTGTTAAGTGTCTAGTGATTTTCAGTTCTGTGCCTGAAGACATAGTTGGTAATTGTAATGAAGTTATGCAAATAGAGCCAGGATAGCTCTTCCAGTAAGGTGATTGGCTTTAGGCTGGATAACAGTAGTTTGATTTTTCTTTCACACCACACTATTCAGGCCAGCTTTTGGGCCCACCAAGCCTGATAACCGATTGGTACAGGGAGCACTTTCCATGTGAATAAAATATTCAGAGTGTGAAGTTCATAACTGACGTTTATTACAGAGGTTAAGGATGAACAGAGATTTATCTCCAGCTCCTCTGTTTCTCTTATAATAATGGTGCTTAGGTATGGGGACAACTTGACCTCTACCTTCAGAAATATTGTGTTAATTTAGAGATCTTGTTGTAATTGTGGTAGTTGTGAACAGAATCGTAACTTCCTGGTTCAGATTAAATACAACACAAAGGATTGCAGTCATACTGCTGATCTGGTGTTTTGCTAATACAGGGGAATTATTGTGTGAAGTTTTGTAATTGCCATAG